TTTGTTAGGTAAATTATTACATTCCATGTATTGATATAATATATTATATCTTCACAATTTTATTCTCATTATAAATAAAAAAAATGCTTTAAAAAACGACTTCTGATTTTAAAATAACCAACAAACATTTATATATTAGATCTGAAAATATTATATATGTATATTTTATATTAATTTAAAATTGGTCCAACAGAAATTATCTCATTTTGGATTAGACAAATAGTAAAAGGTAAAAAATACATCTTTAATTGCCATTACACAATTCTGCCTTAAAGTGTAAATAATTATGATTTATAATAAATTATGTTAAATTCTAAAATTGTAATTATACACACTTGGTTAGCTTTAATGATTTATAATGCAAAATATGTATAAATATGTAAATATATATATTTCTACCTTGAAAATATTTGTGGTGAATATTAATGTTTGGTAAAATTAAATTCAATCTTATTAATAACTTGTACCATAAAATATAACTTTTTTATGTTATTTTAGCTCAATCAAATAGCAATGTTAATGTGACATTAAGACGCCATCTAGGAGATAATTTTAGTCAAAAATTGAAAATTAAATGGAATTGTTTTGTAACGACAGTTGACAGTCGTTTCTTGATCGTTTGTGGTTTTTGGGACAACAGTTTTAGAGTGTTTTCCACAGAGACTGGTAAGATTTGATCAAGTTATTTGCTTATATTTTGAATGAAAAATTTGTAAAAAAGGAAATGTTGTTCATTTTTTTTAACTAGCAAAAATCGTTCAAATTGTGTTTGGCCACTATGGTGTGGTGACGTGTTTGAGTCGTAGTGAATGCAACATCACTTCTGACTGTTACATTGCCAGCGGATCTTCTGACTGCACTATTCTATTGTGGCATTGGAATGCCAGAAGTCAGACAATAGTTGGAGAAGGAGATCATCCCACGCCTAGAGCTACTTTGACAGGACATGAACAGCCAGTCACTTCAGTGGCCATATCTGCTGAACTCGGTCTGGTTGTATCTGCATCTTCAGGTTAGTATATAGCAAGTTATTATTATTTCATTTTTATTACACTATACATAATAATAGTATCAATGTCTTGTTTATTTTAGGTGGCCCAGTTCTTGTGCATACTACGTTTGGTGATCTACTCAGATCACTTGACCCTCCTAACGGTTTTGAAAATCCTGAATGTGCTGTCATGTCTCGAGAAGGTATTATCGTTGTAAATTATGAACATGGTAGCATCGCAGCATTTACAATCAATGGCAAAAGACTGAGACACACCACCCATAATGATAACATTCAAGTATTAATTTGTTTTCTTCTAAATATGCATTATTAAATGTTTATAGTTGTCTTCTATTATCTTAATTTTATTATTTTATAATTATTTGCCTTATATTTTGTGCAGTGTATGTTACTGAGCAGAGATGGAGAATATTTGATGACTGGAGGTGACAAAGGTATTGTCGAAGTATGGAGAACATTCAATTTATCTCTCCTCTATGCTTTTCCAGCTTGTGACAGTAGTGTCCGATCATTAGGTCTTACTCACGACCAAAAGTAAATAAGAGTTGAACATTTATTTAGTTGTAGATAACAAAAATGCATAATCCTTTGTTGTTGTTTTTTTAAAAAAAGATTTTTGTTGGCTGGATTATCAACTGGATCAATTGTAATATTCCACATCGATTACAATAGATGGCACCATGAATTCCAGCAGAGATATTAATTAAGTCTTATCTTAATTTTTGTTTATTTAATTAATTTTAGTTTTAAATCTTTAGTATTACTATACAAAGTTGGAGCTCAATGAAAATGTATATATTTACCAGTACATAATATTATGCAATAATTTGATCATTAATTCATACATACAAATTATGTATTATCTTGTTGTTTTTTGTCCACATATTTTGAATTAGAAAAGTGGCAAACAATTGTATATATTTTAACACAACATTTGTGGATTTAATCATATTTCATCTTTGATCATTGACTTTAATTACCTCATTTTGTTTATTTTCAGAGAGAAAAGTGTTACCAAATATTTACAATTGTATGAACTTATTTTCTTGTTTTGCAATTACTACTGTATCTGGTAAATAGGTAATATTTTCCATTTGTTTGGTTTTAGTCATTATTCGAACTTCGTGAATTCGAAATATTAGTTTAAATTTTCGTTAGTGTGTTGCCACGTTTTATTTCACAAATACACTTCTTATATTTAATTATACATGTCAGTGGCTAATTATTAATATTTTGAATCGAACCATTTATTCTTTGTTACAAGTTTTAGTGTGTCAATACTTAAGAAAATTGCTATAATCAAAATAATTGCTTTTATAAAAATAATAAGTATTTTTCTTGATAACATATTTTACTAAAATGTATTTATTTAGTTTTTTTTTTTTTTAATTTGTCAATTCTTTTATAGAAGTGATTGTAGCCATAGACTTGAACACCTAGTCAGTAACATGATAACAGTAATTTATAATACGCATAGTATTGCATTGTAACAGTATTTATACAATTTTGGCATAAATATAATTGCATTCCATTTGAGAAACAAATCATTCCAAAAAAAAAAATATTTATTAGGAAAGATACAGTTTTTTACTTCGCATTATTGTGATAATTATATTCGATATCCGTCGATTCGTAAAAGTATTAAATGCGAATGAATGTATGTACAATCATATTCGCCATATTTTTGCTTAACTATTATTATAAACAACATTTGTATTTTGATTAGGTATTTTTAAACATTGCGTTTAACGAATTGCTAGTATTTACGACCAGTATGATATTATTACTAGACATATTTTTTTTTAAACACTAATATAATAATAACAATATTATTATTACTACAACGAAACTATGCGCCCTAATGTTTCGACAATATTGCCATTTATAATAATGCAGTAACATTAACTTTGAATGATAATTATTACTGTGATATGCTCTGTTTTTAATAAGTTTATATTTTTTATTAATATTATTTGTATGTCATCAGTGCCTACAAATCAATAATAATATCTACTCATAATAATGATGATATATACTCAAAATAATAATTTGTTACATTTTTCTTTAACTTAAATAATGATAATTTTAATATTAATAATAAAATTAACACATGTAGGACACAATTTTTTTCAGTGCGCATAATTCCTTTATATTATAAAAAAATATCTGTAATATTTTTACTTAATAATTAATAATAATAATAATAATAATAAAGTAATATTGAATGCAGTGCCTAAAGTACGAAGTGTTTTAATCAACCGTTTCAGTGTTTCTTTGAAAAAGCTCATTTTTAAAAATATTTACTGTTTGTTGTGTGTTATTATTGTACATGTACTTTGTGTTATAATAATATAAGGAACCAAGGTTGTGGCTGGTTTTATTTCTTTAACTTGTTTTTTTTTTTTCATTTTAATATAACATTATGACAATGATGTATATTTATATATAGTATTATTAGATCATTGTCAATTTCTTTACACAATATAAATAGGTATGAAAATATAAAAAAAAAAAAAACATTATTTAGTACTTAATTTTATTATATAATATAATATGTGCAGCTTAGTATTATATGATTATTATGTATTTGTATACACGTGTTTATTTAGAATGTTATTGTGAATCAAAATAACATTATAAGGTTATTCAATTGATACAAATATTAACGACAGTATTGCGTAGGAAAAGAATTATTAATAATTGTTGGTTTAAAAGTTATTATTATTATTATTATTATTATTAGCATTATCTTACTGTTCTAAATTTATTGTTCTCGTAGTAGTAAAAATGGTTACATTGGATTTTTATTTGTTTTAATTTTTTTTCTAGACAATTTTTGTTTGTTTTATACACTTTAAACGTTTTATTTGAATTTTTATCTATATTTATCTATTTAAAATGTTTACCATATTTATTATCTTAGGTTATACTATTATAGTATTCAGTGGCGAAATGAACCTAAATTAATCCAAAAACAACATATATCTACCAATAATCTATCCAGTACCTACCCACCAATATTAATCAATATATCTTAATATACAGTCCTAGGTAATTACATCCGGCAAGTTTTTTCTGTATTTTTCATTTAATTTTACTAAATTAATAGTAAATTAGTACCTTTTAATGTTTAGCGTTTTTACATATAGTGCAACTCCCCTTTAAATCTTAGAAAAATTAAGAAGCAACCGATTTGATTTCGCCTCTGATAATATTATTATATACCACTTTTAATTTGTGCAATAATTAGTATTTTCGAATTATTTAAATCACTAGTATCTGTACCTATCATATTCCGTCAAAGTGTGTGCACGTTTAAATAATATGTATTATTATATATATATATATTTTTTATTTTGTGTTTATTTTATTTTATCTCAAATTATATTATATACGTGGGTTTTATTTAATAATATCTTATAAGCATATTTTATATGTTTACCATGTAATGGTATTATTATTATTATTTATAATATATTTTATATACATTTTTTTTTTTGATTTTGTTAACATACTCTTACTTACTATTTTCTTAGCGTCATTGCACTGTTGTAACTTGTAATAGACGTATTTTCGCGTTTACCGAATTCATTTTATTCAGTATTTAATTGTATTTAATACTACCGCCAGTATTTTAATGTGACGTGCCTAATAAGTATTTACTTATTTATTGTATGTATTAAATAAAATTACTGTACTTAACATTATTAAATAAACAAATTGTTTTTTTTTTTTTTTTTACTTGATCACGATTCTGCAGATAGTTATTTTTCCAGTTTTATTTTTAGAGAGATTTTCACATTTTACTGTTCTCCTTTATGAAAATGATATAAAAATTAAAAACAAATTTTTTTTTAAAATTCAATTTAAATTTGTTGGCGTATAGATTTTTAATAATTTAATATTTTGTTAAAAAAGTGTATATTTTTAAAACTGTTTTGTTCACGAGGAAAAATGTATACATTTCAAAAAACGCTCGATGAAAATCGATAATAGTATATTAAATAAATAAAACAATAAATTACTATTTTTTCAAGCAAAAAAATGCACTTTAGCAGAGAAATATAGTATATATATACAAGATTATAGGCTTCCTTAAAATATCCGGTGATCGCGTTTAAACACGGGTAAGTAAAAAATGTAAGTAAAAAAAGTATACCCAGTATAAATATAGACTATAGCTATGGAACTGAGGTCTGCCAGTATATTATGTTTTTATATCTTTGTTGTAAAAAATTATGAGGACGAACTACACAGTCGAAATATTATAACCCGCAGAATTAAAATCTTTATTTCTTGAGACATCAATAGCTGTTTTGAGTTGTTAGGATTGTTACCCTGCACCTAATTTTGTTCACGTCTATACACATTGATTGTCATATTAGTATTCTACTCGAGGCAATAATAAACATCACTGTAACTATTAAAATAACAAAAGAAAATAAAAAAAAAAGAAAAATTGTCCCATAAACATCGAGAAGTGCAACTTGCCACCACGATAAATCAACAGCTGGCGATCGCAAAGCATCGCCACCGTTTCTAATGATATACTCAATCCAGTAGCATGCAGTATCCATAGCACTTATTGGACGATCTCTAAATTTCTTCGAAACTTTTTTCATAGATTCCCTAAATAGAGTCGCTAAAGTTAAGTTGATGCATTTGTATAAATTCATAATGCAGCGACGTAGGTAAAGGAGTGGGGTTAAATCTTCCATTTTTCTTTAAACTCAATATTAATTGACTTTTCAACTCCCAATTCACTTCTATTACAAATAATTGACAAGCATAACCCCCTCCCACCGCAAATAATCTATACCTACGTCTCTGTATTTATGTATGTATTAAACTGGGTAGTTACTGTACCTACTGTATTTTTAATTAATTTTTTACCTGTAAATAGCATTATTCATGATTTGATCAAAGGCATTGTCCAATTTCTGCTCGGAAATATCTTTGATATTTAATTTGACTGCTACGTTATTATTAACAGTGAAGTCGACATTAAAGAATTGGTCAGTAAACAACGGAATCGCTATCATTGGAACCCCGTACATTATCGCCTCGTGAATTCCTTTTGTTCCACCGTGCGTAATAAATGCTTTTACATTTTTATGGTCTGATATGAAAAAAAAATAATTTAAAAACCACGTTAAATATAGGTAATACAATTATTAGACGAATTCTATCAATTTAATTAACTTAATGATAATCTACATAAAATCAACATTTTTTAAGAACTTACTTAGAACTTTTACTTGTGATGTCCAAGAAAAAGTACGAGTATTATGCGGCAAGCCCGGTGGAAGATTATTTTCATCTGTAACTTTCATAAAAACTCGTATAGGATAAACTTTTTCAAATGATTTGAAAAATGCTTGGATTATATGAATTGGAAATGTATCAAAATTGACAAATGATCCGAATGCAAAGTAGATGAATCCATCTGAACTTTCATCTAACCATTTCTTATCATCCTATTATTATAAAAATAATCATAATATTTTTTTGATAGTAACATACAGTTAATTAATTAAATATTCTAGTTGATGGTCAAGTCAACATACCGGAGCAATTTGATCTTTATCGTTATCTTGGATATTAAGTCCAGCGACGTAAACGAGTGCCGGAGTAGTTGATTTTACACCTTCTACAGATAGATGTGAATTAGCTATTATGAGTGAAACATTTTTCTCTAATTCTCTGACCCCTGGTGCATCTGGTCCAAAATATTTTTTTATAATATCAGTTTGAGGTGAAGTGTAGTGCTGAAAGTAGTGTGTGACATAAAATGTATGAAGTGTGTTGTATAGTCGATTCCAAAATGAAGTTGGATTGAGTGAGCTACTGAGAATGTTTGACGAATAGGCTAGATTTTGAGGGTTCGCTATCATATCGTGAATCCATGGATAGACCGCACTCGATGTCACACCTACAACTGGGACGTTTAAATGATGTCCAAACGCCATAAAACAATGCGCACTAAATACCTTTAAAAAAAAAACCGTGGAAAAAATATGTAAATAAATAAATATTTTTTAAAGAATTTTCTTTTGTAGTAAGATCGGGCTGCTAATACATAACTACATTATATAGGTACCTATTTGAACTGTAGCTAATAACATGAAGCATAATTAATGAAAATAATTAAACAATTTCCAAAACAATTATTTTACTTACTTCAACCAGAACTAAATCGTAGGCGGGATTTTTCGGAGGATTTTTTATGATTTCTTGCAACCGGGAACTTTTTAATCTTTCTTCGCAAATAAAATTTCCAAAATTTGTCGCAATATTACGGACAACGTAGTTCGTGTCCTTGTAGTTTTCAAGAAGATTCCAATCAAACTTATTGGTCAGTTCGGGCAGCGATGGCATGGTAATGTTATGATAATTCGGAGGTGGATTTTTCAATGAATATTGACTAACGACGTCGACCCGGTGATTTCTTTTAGCCAGATTCGTCAACAATTCGTCGTACATAATGTTGTGACTTTGACCGTTCCACGGAAAAATCGCTAATATGCGATAACTTGAACATTTCTCAATATTTAGTAAGGCGACACAAAACAAGAACAGTATTGCTGGCGAAAAAAGTCTCCGGCTGAACATTTTATTTTTTACTGTATATCAATTTCAAATTTGTACGGTATTTCAAATTACGGTATTTGTTTATATGAATAAGCTAATACCTACTGGGTAGATACTGAAATAAAAAAAAACAGTGTTGTAAACGCATTCTTTTGAAAAATGTACGTGAAATATTTTGAACCACATCCTAGAATAGTATATGTATAGATATCTAGTATGTACACTTAATGCATATTCATAAAATTTACACCTTATAAAGTATAAACATTAAACATCTGAATAATTAAAATGTATTTTAAATTGTAAATTTTATATTATTAGGTAACCACCTAAATAGTTGTTTACGACTGTTTTTTCTGTTGGTCACCTATATACACTGTATTTATATTATACTTTTGTCTAAATCAGAAACACTTAGCGACGTGCCCAGGACTTCATTGAGGTAAAGCTCCAATAAACTAAAAATATATATATATATATAAGTATACATTTATTAGTAGATAAGTATTATTTATACTTAGCTGAATAAGTAATTCAAATGTGCAATGATAATTACTTTATCAGTATTAAGTTTTCAGCATTTAATAGTTTGTTATTATTTTTTATTTAACACGGCAAATAAAGGAAGCTAAAACCCTTTTAAACCCCCTCTCCTTAGTATTTCACCTGGGGTACTCTGTTATGAATGTATAAGCTTATTAATATTCGTGATGTGCATTTCTTTTCCTCCCCCCAACACAAAATACTAGTTACGCTACTGTATCTGTCGCATAATTAAAAAATTACGATTGTGTATGCCGAATTACCACGTTACATTATTATGTACATAGCTTAAATGAATTTCATAATTATATTGTCATCGTTCATATTTTAAATGCTGAGTGGAGCAAGGAATGTATTGGTTTTACAATGTTACAATGATGTTTATTTTTTATTTTAGATTCAAAGTGTATTGAAAAATGTGTTGGTTTTACTAATATGTTTTACTAATACTAAGATGTTTATTTTTTTATTATACTGTGTACAACAATTCTATCATAAATTTTGCTCAGATATATACGTGCGGCACCATTTTTAAAAAAAAATGTTTTCCAAATGGTACTTTTAGATCATATTTTGATTTTTCAAACGGTATTCATAATATCTGAGAAAAACCAAGACAAAACATAAGAAAAATAGAAAATTTACAAAAATAATGGTTTTATTATTTTTCAATTTTCTAATTTGTTGTAATTCCGTTCAAAATATTCGTGGAGACATGAAATTTGAACGAAAAATGTATATTTGTCTTTTCTAAACATGGTAGAACTTTCGAACCATTTGAGCCACTCTTAAGCTTTTTAGAAAAAATCGTAATATTTTTGTTGGAATTCAATTAAACATATTCGTATCGACTCTATGGACTTTTAATTAAAAGAAAAGTTTTAATTTCTTTAAAAAGAAACTTTTTATTTGCCTTTTCTAGACGTGGTTAATTGTTCAAAAATTTAAGCCATTTTTGAGCTATTTATAGACATGTTAATTTTGTGAGTTCTGTACGTAATTTTTTCTCGATAGGTACTCTTTAGTAAAATTGTTAAAATTTAAAATTTAACAAGAGGTTCATTAAGAGTTACTTTGTGGTAAAAAAAAAAAATTGAGTTTAATGTAGTATATTTTTTGTAAAGGAATTTCAATACCAAATTTTGTCGAAAATCGTTTGAATAAAAAATTATACAGAACAAATTTATTTTTTAAATTTTTTGAACATATGCATATTGCCGATCTAAGAACTACAGTGAAGTCAGAATTTAGCGGACTGACTTAGTTTTGAAATAATAGCTTTTTGAAGTTCTGATATTATGCAGATATTAAATGTAATGTTAAATAACTAAATATTGTCACTTTTGTATTATGTTTGTCGTAGCCGAATGGTTACACATACCTAGTTTCCTGAGATTCGCGAGTTCTCGAACTCGTGTTTCGAAAATTATTTGTCGCACTTATTTTTTGCTTTTTACCTAAACAAGGAATACACAAAAGCATTTTAGTTGAACCCAGATATTGTTCGCTCGAACTATTTTAGTCGACAAATACACCTCGATTTGTTGTGCAAATTTTTCTATCAAAAATCTTGCTGCGATGTATCAAGTGCAGCTTATTAATTTTTGATAAAATATTTTATCTTTATGGTAATATAAGGAGGTTTTCCCTGGATTTTCCCGGGAGTTTTCTCAATAAATGTAAAAATGTGTTTATTTTAATTATAAATATTACGGCCTTTTAAAACATCTATAATCGAACTCAGCTCAGAATCTGAGCTTTTTGTTATCGTTGATTAATTTTTTCATACAGATATACATTTAATATGCTCTTTAACTTTTCATCTACAGCAGTGGACATCGTGTGACGTATGTCCATTTGTTTTTTTGCTCATAATACTTGTGTCGTCTAATTACAACGACACGCGCACATCTATTTTTGATGACAAACTGTTTTTTTTTTTTTTCATATCCATGAATAGACAATATTATAATATGTGTTTTTATAGTATTTTTTTACTATAAAATGTGCACGTATTATTGTTATTCTATTTAATAATGAAATTAAACTATTAAATTTATTATAACGATGATATTTTCGCACACTTGTGGACAATTTTGTGTTTTTTTTGTTTATTCTGTTTTTTTATGCAACCCGAGAGGGTTATTATACACGTTTGTTCACACGAAATAATTTAATACCTATTGAGTAAATAACCAAAAGAATATATTTCGGTACACATTACATGTATATATAATAACGATCTCGCGGTTAGAATATCATTTGTCAACAGTTTGATGGTATCCGTCTTCACTCGTCATAATTATGCTCTTTGAGAAGTCGTAATTAACAATTGACAAAAAAAACCAAACAGATATCGGCGGTATCTGTATAAAATTGTTCAAAATTTCAGTCCGATAAATTTCCGCATCGAAATGATTTGCACAAAGATTTTTATAGCACTGGCAGTGACATTTATGTTGGTCGAAGTGAGTTATAAATGTAGTAAAATAATAATTTTAAAGCTTTATAAAAAAATTAATTAGGAGTATAGACTTCAACTTACTTGGGTTTGTCAACAGAAATTGTTGAATCCAGGTATACTACAGTAGGGGAAATATTTCCTCCCAGGAATTTTATTCACTTCCCTGATCAATATATCTGACAAAAAATGTGTTTATTTCATGTACAATATCCGTTACATTTTACATAGAAATGACCCATGAAAAAAAATGGCCCACCCCAAGAAAATTGTCTAAATTCAACACTGTCGACAGCTGGTGATCAACATAACGTAAGACACTTATTATCTATGTATTAACTTTATTCGGAATTCGTTTTTTAGAATGTTAAGAAATAAATTGCTCTAAAATTTTACATTCCGGTTATATTTTATCACCCTTATTTTATTGGATGAAACAACTACTTAAGATTTTCAAATGGCAACCTTTATTAAAAATTCCACAACTATACGGAGTATTAGATTAAATCACTTGTAATCTTAACATTGTAAATTTCCGTCAACCTGTTGACAAGATATTCCACATTTAAGTTTCTCAACCTCACCAATCTGATTTTACACCAGTTACCTTCTTTTCACCGGATATAGTGGACTTAATTTTGATGTTGAAACGGCACACCCATGTACTACACCGAAAATATAAATAATAATTTTTATCAAGCCTTTTGTTAAAATCACGATATTCACTCTTATTTCAGATCTCCAACAGTTCGGGAATATTTGCTCCAACGCACTATTTCATTACTATAGTATATTAAATTTAACTGATGCTTTAAACCGCACAATGTATATTTATATTGCCATAACATAACTTGCGCTTCAAAAAGCAACCCATATGTTTACAGCCTTTATAAAGGTAAAATTTTGATAATATTGTTGGTAAATAAAACCATACAGGTGATATATCAGTATAGATATGCCGATTCTGGCTCAACCAATATTTAATAGAATTTAAACAGTAAATTTTTAACAATATTTAATAGAATTTGAACAGTAAATTTTTAACAATATTTAACAGAATTTGAACAGTAAATTTTTAACAGTATTTAACAGAAAAAATAACAAAAATATTAATAAAAAACCAGAGAAATTTTGCCTTTTCGTTTGTGTTGAGTTGTTGTTGTGAAATTGAATTGACATTTTGAGTTTCCTGAGTCCCGAGTCTCAAAAAATATACACACAAAATTAATATTCAATACATTTAATACAAATTTTCGATACAGATACCTGTAGTAAGTTCTCTGAAAAAAATTAATTTTATATATATTATTTATATTAATATTTTTGTTATTTTTTCTATTAAATATTGTTAAAAATTTACTGTTAAAATTCTGTTAAATATTGTTAAAAATGTACTGTTCAAATTCTGTTAAATATTTTGAGTCAGGTTGAGCCAGAATCGGCATTTCTATACTACTTATATCTACCTAATGACGAAAAAACCAAAATAAAATTAACTCAAAAATCTTCTTACCAATATATTTTAATTGTATAATATTATTATATAAAATCGCTTATAGTCCGTATCAAAATAATTACAATTATAATCACATTTTTTTTTATCGATACGTTGTGATTTCAAACGTTTTACAAAAGTTTGATTCATCGATTTGATTATAATCCAACCGGAATCGAACATTCTACAGTAATATAATGATTTAAAACGGCGCTGACGTTATTATATTAATTAACAACGCTGTTTTTTTTTTAATAGCAGGGTGATGGCCAACAAGTAGGCGACAGCAAAAAGAAGAAAGGTATATTTCATCACTTCAATCTGAACAATGTCGAAAAGCTCGCGAAACTTTCATCATTGCCAGAACGCATAGTTATAAAGGGGGCCTTCCGTGGGGCCAAAGAGTTACGCGACCTACTTCGTGGTCATCGAAAGAACACTGTGCCGCCGCAGCTATTACAGGTAATGAACTATATGTTTGTTTGTTTGTTTCGTTGATCAGTAAAATATTTATATTGTGCGCGAATCAATTGTATAAGGCGATTAGCTTATGATGAACTAACGATTATTCATACGAACATTTTGAGAAGGTGAATTTCCTTCTTTTTATTCTTTTTATTTTCCATTGTAGACTATCGTTAAATGATCTAGTGTGCAACAGTGAAACGTTTTCAAAACGTTACTCTTTTACCATAAACATGCCATATCAATATTTGATTTTTAAAAAGCAACTTAAATGTTTAAAGTCTTTATAATGGTGCATACGGAATAATGGTAAAATCGTGAAAATATTAGGGGTAAATAAAATCGTTAAACGGTACTGGTAATAATGAAAAAATCAAAATAAAGTTTACCCAAAATCTTCTTACTAATGTATTATTATATCGAATCGCTGATGGTCTGTATAAACATAGTTACATTGCAGCGTCTTTTAAAAAGCACCTTTTTTCTATCGATAGTATTGTGATTACGGACGTTTTACAAAATTATGATTTATCGATTTAATTATAATCGCACCGGAATCGAACATTCCACAGTAATATAATGATTTAAAACGGCGCTGACGTTATTATATTAATTAACGACGATGTGTTGGTTTCGGATAGCAAGGTTATGGCCAATACGTGGACAACAGCGGAAAGAAGAAAGGTATATCTCGTCACTTCGCCCCGAAAAATGGTAAAAAGGTCTCGAGATACGTAACGCATCCAGGTTCCACGACAGTAAAGGTTATAAAGGGAATCATCCGTCAGGGCAAAAAGTTATGTCACCGTCGTCCTAAGAACACTGCGCCGCCGCAATTATCATACCCGATACCACCGGGCGGCCCAAATTATATACCGCCACCACAGTAGCTAATTATTTTGTTTTGATGAGAAAACAGCAACGCTATGATGGCTTCGATTTTTTTGAAATAGGTATTTTTATTTCCGCACTTAACGAAAATTTCTTAATCATAAGTTATTATTTATTGTACGGTATTATGTACGATCAATATTCAAATTTTAGATATTTATAAAAATAAATAATTTTCAAAAATTGTTATTGTAAAATGTTTAATATTTATTGCACTATAATATACGCAAACAATTATATAATTATTTTAATTGTGTACCTAATGTCAAACTACATTAAATGAATAAAAGTTAATACTGCCGATGGATGTGCCACTATTGTAGATATGAAGTTATGAAGGTCGGATGCATAGAGTTATTTAATTTACATCTGTATGCAACGATAAACCATTGCTAACGACATACGATACTGTATGAAGTTCAGTCATAGGTACATGTTTTGAAATGCTATGATATTTTTGATTTTTATTAAAATTTGAACCTAAAACACTTATGTAATTTAACTTGCATTACGTTCAACTTTGTTAAACATTGAGTCAACTTTTCAAGCATTTATACTCGGCTAGTAATGAAACTAAAGGAATACAGAATTTCTTGTAGAAAATAATCGTACTAAATTTCTGTTATAAGGACAGATCTGAATTGGGACGACGGGCTGCCGGATCTTCAATAATAAAATAAAATAAATTGTTTTCCCTTGGTATTAGCACCGGAAGCACCTATCGCGACGATCATTGATATAATATGATAATTATACATAGATATAAACCAAATATAAACGTTAGCATGACAACATCATGCACGTTACACGTTAGCATCATTCGTTAATAAATTATCAAGTTTTTCAATTTGAATTGTTTTGTTAATATTTTTAAATTTGAATATTACACGTACCTACCCATTTAAAGACTAAAATTAAAAAATAATCGTAATAGGTAATGCTGAAAGACACGAATAAAATGTTCTACATTTTTAAAAGAAGCTTTAAGAGATCCAAAACAACGAAATATATTCAGTTTTACTAATATATCCTCTAATAATCCATCGGTAAAATTCAATTTTATTCCCAAAAATATGTATGCACAAAAATATATTTAAATTTATATAATGGTCAATATAAATGTGCTAGGAAAATCATACTATTGAAAATTCGGAGCTCGACTTTGAGACATATTTAATAAATTAAAGTAATACATTTTATGAAGTTCATTGAAGTCTATCCTCTCCTTGGTTTATTTCCTATACATTAGAGATATATTTGGTGTGAGTTTATTAATATTGTTTTTACTTTGTATGTTTTTGTTTTTTTTTTTTTATTATTTAAAAAAATTAATTACTTATGATATAATTCGTATTTAAAATACAATATTTTTTCACGAAACAATTTTACCAAAAAAAAAATAACATTAAAAATGTATACCTTTACAAAGTATCTATTTAAAAACACGGAGCTGTTGACGTATTACGTAGTAAAATTATCGAGCTCGGTAAATTTCAGAGTCTATATTTGGCTCTATATAACGGTGCCTCGTGCCTTATTGTCCCGCGATTTTCGTTTTACCGGCAGACACGTGACAGACCGGTGGCACGTGCCGAAAAACTTTATTTGTTCGGTATACACGAGGAACGTTAACTAAACTCAAAGGCTCCAGTCGAGACTTTACTGAACACTGGTGGTAACACGCGTTCGAATTTCACTGTCGACGCGTATATTCGGTTACCGATCGATTTATCAAGTGAATTATAAAAATAAAAATCACGTCCGTCACCCTGAATTCGAGGCGTTACACATGGGAAATTTTAACAATATGTTTTTGAGGGAAAATGTAAATATATTATCGACTCAAATAAAATATATCCAAAACCGTTATGACAAGTATTTTTGCAAAACAGTAAGATGAACCGTTCAGAAACGAATTTTATAGACGAAACACCAATTTATTATAACTTTTTGTAGATGACGATCATATTGACAACGCTTTACAACATGACGTCCTCTTAATAGTCTAAATATCCCATCCAATAAGGCACAAAAAACTTTATTTAAAATTTTATTTTATTTTTTCAATACCTAACCATAACGTTTTTAAATAATTCATTAATTCGTATTTCGGAAAACGCCGTTGAGGTTTTCTCAAATGCCGTTGTACATATATACTGCGATTTCCATATATATATATATATCATAACATAAATAACGTTTAAAAAAAAAAAAAACCTATAAAACCGTTTTTAAACGTTTCTTCGTTTGTTTTGCGTGAAATATGTTTTTATGAATGTACAGTAAATCGCCACCGAAGTGTTTATCACCGCAGTTCGAGTCTAACAGCGATTTGTATCCAATCGCATTCCATTATCCTATGGTCAGTTTGTAAAAATTTTACCGGAAAGTGACAAGAAAAAAAACAACATAAATTGCGTACGGAAAATATTTATCACTCAAAATAAACCTTACAATAAAACCTCACTATATTATTATAATAACTGCAGAGGGTATAAGTTTTTGGGACGTGTTTCAAAAACGATGCAGTTGTTTTCGTATTTTTCAAACTCAATGTTTTGGTAATTCATTCGCAGCGTTCGCGCTCGGTTATTCCGTTTCATTCAGATTCAAATTTTCTTCATTGTCTTCATCGTTCGCTTTTGTGAAATTTACAATTGTTGTCCCGCGTGCCAGAGAAAAACGGACTCGTTTAAATGTGGTTTGTCGACAAAACGACAGTAATTATTGGCATCAATTTCGCGTTTCAGTAACACTTGTGCGCTTTTTGCCCGCGCAATTATCCCGCAACATATTATAAAACAATGTAACGCGTTCGAAATCTCTTCCAGTCGGCTAATTTCATCCAAAAGTCATCTCGGTTTGGTTTAATAGCATAATATATTTATATTAATTATCATCATTGTTATCGTGCAGTACACATCGAACCGCCGACGGCGGCAAAAGTGAAATGATTTCTAAGCGGATATTGATATTGACCATCGCGATAGTCTGTTTGGCCCAAGTGAGTTATTGGAATTTTTCCTATTTGAAATGTTTCTCGTCATTAAAATACGGCACGTAACGTATTTTCTGCACCAAATACATGTGATCTTCATGAGGTTTTTAATTTTGTTTGTATTTCCAATAAATTTTCGTTGAAGTTGCAAATTTTTAAGGAGTGGTTTTTATCGAAAATATGGATACATTTTTTAGTTTTTTTTTTTTTAATTACATAGTACTAAAAAGTGGTCATTAATAATTTGATGATTAAATATTTATTAAAAAAAATTATTAAATATTAACGCATCAATATAATATAAAAATTAGTCAGCAAAATTCGGATTTGAATAGAAACCATATTTTTTTTCTTGCTTCTTTCAGTAATATTTATTAATTAGGTAATTTAAATAATATCGATTTGTTATCGAATAAAAATCATTTTTAAAATCAAGTCTTTATTACCGTTCCGTTTATCCGTTTATCACTTGTTCACTACAGTTTTTAAACTATTTCTAATGGTATTCATTATGTATTCATAATATAACAGTAAAATTATATTATGCAGATTTTTAACCCAACTTAACTATTCACACCGTGTATTTAAATGGAAGTCTAATGTGTTGACGTCTGCAAACAAACATATTAATAGATAATATTATTGTTTTCCCGTGGAAATCTGAAAAAGAAATGAGTATTACGATATTATGGATTTTAATTCATAATTTTCTGTTTGAAAATTTAGTTTATAGTTTGTCCGGCAGTCCAAGAGAAAAAACCAACCCCGTCTAAAATTGGGGCAACAAAACCCACCTCACCCAGAAACGTTGCGGCCACACCTACCACATCTAAAGTCCCTGCGCCTAAGCCTACAGCTCCTCCCACACTTCCTTATGTACCTCCAAAACCTGTTGCAAAATTCACTCCACCCACAGGCCCTAAAATAAATTCTAGACGCGCTGAAGAAGAAGAAGAAGATGATGATTATGATGAAGGTCCTCGGCAAAAGTCTTCACAGGTACCTAATTCATCTATCGACAATCGTTTTAAAATTCAGGGCGAATAAAGAGTTTCAGAATAGTTTTTGGCAAAAACGGTAATTGAACTTTTTTATTTTTGAGGATAACTGATGAAATCTCCCGCTGTCATATTACTACTAGGTATTATGTACACGGTATATTTTCGAACAGGAGATAGACTTAATATATTGTATGATGAAAGAAAATAAATTTTACTAAAATAAATAAATATTATGAAACTTGTAAATCTTAACATTTTGTTGTGTACGCAGGATTTCAGCATAGAAGAGGAACCAAAGCCAAAACCAGTATCATTTAAAAAAAAAGTTTTCCGTCGCATTGTCTCAATATTTTTCCGTGCTTGTAGCTATTACAAGTCACTTTTTAGAAAAGTCAAATCTATTTTTTGAGGTCAGGGAGTCATTCATATTAATTTTATTTTTACACTTCCTTTACTTGTTCTTTTTCTCCTTTGCCTTCATTCCAATTATTGATACGCAATTTACTGTAAAAATCAAAAATAATCAAATAAATAATGATTGAACGTTAAATATAATTTGGATGTTTGATTATTTCATTGAGTTAAATTCATATTTCCTATTTTTATGATGATGTAGCAATGGAAATGCAAAGAGTGATCTCGGGGGTTCAAACAGCTCCTCTACCCCTACAAATTATGAAATAAGTTTTTTTAAAATTTGGATATAAAAACTTGATACAAATACAAAAAATAATTACTATACAAATCAATGATATAATTTCTTATTTTTTCAATCACCTTCTCCTTACATTTATTCATGCAATTATACAAACAAAAACTAATTATTAATCTAATGACACTTATTGTAATTTGATGGAAAATATCTAACATGGATAACAAACGTCCATCCATCTAAACAATCATTCGCAGACAAATTTTCCAGAAATCGAATCAAAAATAAATGAACGTGTGATCCGTGGTTCACCGAATGGGTGATAAACTCATATTTTCGTCAGGTAAACCTGACCTGTGTAGGAGATTGCACTATTTTTTAAATGCAGTAAAAAAAATTCTATAAAGGAGTTTACATGTGGTTTGTTGAATAATAGGGGTGTTTTCGTATTGTAATCGCGAGTAAACTGTTTACTAATAACGTCTTTGCGAGTTGGTTACTGTAACCCGGTAACTCTTTCTAGTAAACAGTATGATGTATTTTGTAACCGTCCATTTCGAGTCGGTAAGAAGATTTGTTGATATTTGGTTACTAATTGGACCAAGATACACGCGTGTGATGAACAAATGGATAATAATAATTTATATTTTAATTAAATATATGTATATGCGTGTATTTGTTATATAAACGACTATATAGTCGTTTATAGTGTTTATATTATACAAAGTGTCCCACGATGATTGCAATAACTTTAATCTTTCTATTCAATATTTTTGAATATATATATATTTTTAAATAATTATTATACCTCAGCGTTTCAGTTAATATATGAACATTTTTTTTTTTTAAGAAGAGGGGGATTTAAAATTAAAAATTAAAAATAACCATTTTGTAAATGAATACATTTTTAGAAAAATGTTGGTGTTTAAAACTTTTGTTAACGTATGATCTTTTATTTTCTACAATTTTTTGAAATTTTGAGTGAAGATTACAATATTTAATCAGTTATTAGTCAGGACACACAACAAGGATTTTCTTTTCCATGAGTTAATATCATGCAATAATATTATCATATTATAGGTATTAGGTAGTATCAATCAATCAATAATGGTCATTTATGTTAACAAACAATATTGTTGTGATTAAAAAGAAAATAATTCAAATTTTAAAAATTAAAAGAAAATAAAAGACCATACTTTAACAAAAGTTTCAACCACCATAAAATTTTCAAAAAAATCTATTTTATAAAATGGCTACTTTGAATTCGTTTAAAAAAAATATAGTAAAATTGTAAATCCCCCCCCCTTGGAAAAAAATGTTCGTGTAGTGCAAATGCTTACTAATTATGTAAAAAATATATGTATCAAAAATATTGAATAGAACAAAAGTTATTGCATTTGTCGAATCCTCGTGGAACATCCTGTATATACGTATTGACAGAAAATACTCTTTAATTTCGGCAAAATTAAGTTATGAAAAACATACATTGTTGCGTTTAGGTTAAAATAGTTATAGTTTAATTGCCGATATAAAAATCTAAAGAAGAGAATATTTTCGAGGGTCTAGAACGTTGTTGTCTTTCTAAGATATTATAAAACAAATACAAGTTAAAATTCCTTACTAATGGCTGTATCATACTTATTTAACAATTTTTTTTTACAACGACAGCGACGTAGGTAAATATATACTGCCCTCGAAAGTTGATACCCTATTAATTTCAACCTAAACGCCATGGTTATGTTCTATGCGTCGCAATTATCTTGTTATGTTACCTGTCAGCAGTGTTGTGCGTTTCCTAAATAAAGTATCTAGACAAAAGTATGTATACTTTTATCTTATCTAGATAAATAAAACAGTTATCTAATTACCTAGATAATTATTTCGATTTTCTCATTTTAACGTATACCCTTAAAATATTAAATAATCGTATATAGTTAATAATCACAAATCGATGTTTATGTATATTGTTAAAACATTTATGGATACATAATTTGATTACTTTGGAAAAAAATTTACAATATTTATTAAATCGATGTTTTAAATAAATTGACGACTAGGGCCAAAGTCATGTTTGTTATTATTATTTTTTTTTAAATCAATACATAAACAAACTGTGACAACATTATAAATCATAAATCGTAATAATTCTGTATCAAATATGTGAAAAAATAATTGTATTTTTCTATTTTACTAGTTTTAAATTTAGTCTTTAAAAGTTTAAAACCTAAAAACTAAAAAGTAATTTGTTTTTCATTTAGATAAAAAACAAGTTTATTTTATCTTTTATCTAGATTCAATTTGTTGGGTTTTTTCTTATCTAGATAAACTATCGACACATTATCTAATATATTTATAAAATGTTAACATTATATTTATACAAAACTGCTCGTTGGTCAGATTAAGAACAGTGAAAAGCGCTCAGTCTTAAGAAAGACTACATAATATTTTATTAATATTTCGTCTTACAAACACACAAAATTCAGGTTCAGCTGCAGAACCAATTTTCTTGTTGTTAATGTTAACATAAATGTAAATTGACCATTTATCAAGTATAAAAAGAATACCATATTATTGACGTTAGTTTTTTTTCATGACTTTAATTTTTAACCAGATATTTTTAAACTGTAATATTTCACATATTACTCATATACATTATACATAATATTTATCTCGAATACAAATTAAAATTACGAAAAAAAAAAAAACCAGCATACACAAATGTATACATTTAATGCACATACCAAATGTTTCTTCTTTCCTTTAGTTTTGATAACTGGTCAAATCACTTTGACGTTAAAACTAACGAACACGAAATCGATTCCGCTGAACGTGAATTTGTCATGTATCATCGTGCGTTTGTAAAACGGAGCTAAAACAAACGCGTCATGCTCATCGTCTATCATTATTACTAGTATGACGTTATTTCTTCGCCATTGTTTCGTATAATATTATTGAAAAGTTGTTTTGCGCTCTATACATTGTTACAGTTACCAATAAACGTTTCGTCCACGACGCGCAGCAATAATAATTATTATATTATAGACATTGTCCCGCGGGCTGCAGGTGATAACCGATGATTCGTTTACAATTAAAAAAGCTAAATAAATATGAAAACACGGCGTTTTGCGACAAAACGATAATTGGCGTCTATAATTATTCGAGCCGGCCGATTCGCGTTTCGTCAACACTTGCGCTCCGTTTACCGGGGTAATTATCCCGCGCCCGGCCTCGACATAAAACGAATATAAACGCGTTCGGCATCTCTCCCGGCTGGCCGATTCCATATCGTATAGTTAATTTCAGACCGGTAACTAAAAACAATAAAATAATATAATATTTTATACATCAATTGTTATCATCAGTATTATAACCGAGCGCACAGTATCTTAAATACACATAACCAAACGACAGTGAGACGCGACGCAAACAAAAACAAAACAAAAAAAAAAAAAAAAAAATGATTTCCAAGTGGATAATGATACCGACCATTGCGATAGTCTGTTTGGCCCAAGTGAGTTTTGTTAGAATTTTTCGAATCATATACACGAAATTGTTTAATACCTTAGATATGCCCAATACTTGTATAGTGTCATTATCACTATTACAGACCTGTAATAAATAAATGGACTGATAGTAGAGAAAGAGGCAAATTTTTGTTCCGAGGTATTTAGAACAAGAAAAGCGAATTTTGAGGTATCATTTATAGAAGAACAAATTCAATATCGCGAAAATAAAATGTTTAATATCAATCTAATTATATTCGTAATAATTGATCTTTGCTTGCCAGCGAGAAGAGTTATAATGATAATATTTCAATAGTGAACGGAGTTTTTCCGAAGCTTAGACAGTTGACGAAGGAATAGACCAGATTGTTCTCTTATTCCAGTCTTCAATGAGTATATTCAACGTTCTCTATGTTCAATTAACAATGTTGTCTTAGAGGGACTATACAGATAGGGTATATTATGGAGTACTATCAATCTATTTCATCATATGTCTATGATCATTACTTATCTTCTATATGTTTTAGACTAGATTAGTTTAGAAGGTGCGTTTTTTGTTGTTTTACATTCGATGCATTATGTATAATTTTGTTTTTTAATATGTTTGGCGTAAACAAGTTATTCATTAATAATAACCGATAAGTACATAATGTATAAAACACTAAGTCATTCTGGATGAAAAACCAATGTAGATACTCGTACTCGTATATTTAATAGGAGAAAATCGAATTTGATATTATATTTAATGATTTCGGTTTTCTCCGAAAATCTATCTACTCAGATTCGTTAAAATCGTTAAAAAAAAATATATATATATATGTATTGTAATAATAAAATATCAATGTTTCCGTTCGCGAGTTAAGTAAAATCTATTGCAGTATAATATATGAAATATGAATGCTTTTAATTTATTTTTGTTGGTAATTTAGTTTATAACTTGTCCTCCGGGAAATGATGGAAAATCAAAAACGGATTCCCCAACACCTAAGACTACTTTGACCGTCAAACCTGCTGTTTCATCCAAACCTATTTCAAAACCTCCTTCGTTAAAATCCGCTCAGTCCAAAACCGTGGAGCAAAAACCTCCTACCCAATTAAAAACCATTGTACCCAAGTCCGCAGTAGCACCCAATTCCGCAGTTGCACCCAAGCTCGCAGAGTCACTCAAAATCACAGCTGTGCCCAAATCGACACTACCCAAAAATGTTTCAGCCAAACTTCCCGCAGTAGTGCCTAATGTCATACCCAGTACCAAACCTACGGTAGAAGCCAAACCCCCACACACGGAACCTGAAGAAGGAGAAGAAGAAGAAGGAGAAGAAGAAGAAGAAGAAGAAGAAGAAGAAGAAGAAGAAGAACAACAACAACAACAACAACAACAACAACAACAACAAAAACAACAACAACAACGACAACAACAACAACAACAACAACGACCACAACAACAAAAACAACAACGACAACAAGAAGAAAAAGAATTAGAAAAAAAATTAGAAAAAAGATTAGAAAAAAAAGACGAACGTTTTCAGGATTCTCGTATACAGGTAATTTGTATTGACGAAAAGTCCATTTTTCTATTATTTTAACGTCTTTAAAAAAACTGATAAAGTGCCAGTTTCAATGCATAATAGTATCAATACAATATATCGCAATTATAATTTTGAATCGTTGAAAATCTACTAACACTTTCAAAAAAAAAAAATACGAATGTTGCGTGATTTTATATATGATCTACAAAAATGCATACTTCGAGAAGGGATTATTACATTAATGTAGCTAAATTGAATTACATTTGATGGTAAAGGGGTCGGAAATATATTATTGTATTGTCAAGCACAATATTTATATCGATTATGTGACGGGACGGGACGAGTTCGTGTATTTACTCGTATATTATAGAAAATTGAACAATACATTTTTTTTTTTTTTTTTTTTGTATTCACAAAACGATTTAATTTATGACCTATTATATTATTATACCTATTTATGTATAAGTACACGGCCAAAACGTAGTTTCAGATCTGAAATGTGAAAAAAATTGAAAGAGAAGGGAATTATAAAATAAAAAATAAAGAGTCTTAGTATTTTTAATTTTTAAGGAGATAGTTAACTGGGTGGAAAAAATTAGATACTTCCGAAGACTTAATATTTTAGAGTTCCTAATTTCACACATATAAATAATAAGCAGAAATGTGTACATTTTATAACGTTTTGATCTTGATCATATACGCAGGAACGCTCGGAAAATAATCAAGAACCAGAACCACCGAAGAAAAGTAGCATTCTTTCTCCACTTCTCAGTATGTCCTGTAGATATTTGATTTTGCGTCCGGCAAGATTCATAATCAACGCGATTTCAAGTATAAAGAGGGTTATAACACGCATAAAAGAATCCACACAAAGTCAAGAGTAAATGCGTTGCGGCAATTGTTTGTATTATAACATAATATAGAAATATGTTAATAAACGTTACCGATCTACACGGACTATAATATTAAAAAATAAAATTTAAAACAATAACGGTGAAAAATCTGTGTGCGTTTACTATTATTATTATTATTATTTTTTTTTTTAAATACCTACATTTTCTCCTTAACGGCAATTTTATTTACTAGCCGTTCTATGCCGGACGTTGCCAGACTAATTTTGTATTCCTTTTACCTTTATTCCCGTTCTGCTTGCTTTGTCCGTATCAGTATATTGAACGGAAAAAAAATGGAAAAAGGATGTTCCGCCTAATACTAAAAGTGGACTAAACGTGTTCTAGTGTGTCATACATTTTGTCATCAGGGTTACCATAGATAACCGCACAGCACAGGTATTAAACTGTTCAGGGTGTTTTTTTAGATTCTGAGAGGAGATAGGAATGTATTGGTTTTACAATGGTGTTTTTTATTTATTTATTTATTTATTTTTTTGTATTTTTGCGGACACTTTTTCTAACAGCAATTTTACTATGGTTTTTCATTCCTACTTCATATTTTTTTTATTTATATAATGTATATATATATATATATATATATATATATATATATATACCCTTTTAGAGTAGATATAATATTAATTAAAATTAGATATTAATCTATAATTCAACAATTTTTGTACCGAAAAAACCTAAAAACCTATCATTCCCTTCAAGTTTTACTATCGCGACAAAAAGTAGCCTATGTTTGTATAAAATGTAAATCACCGATTTTCGTTTTGAAAATAAATCGCAAACTCTATTCGAGTTACGTACTAAAAGAAATATTTACCTAATATATATAATTTTTATATGTATATGTAAATCCATGATGTTGACGACAGAACGATTAAAACTTGACAATTACAACGGTTTTACAAATGTATTATTTTTTGAGTGGTTGAACGCAACAGTGATTTATTTCATTAAACAGGTAAACGGGAGTTATATATTTATTTATTTTTTTAAAAAATTAAATTCACTAGTGGCGGACCTTTTTTCCCCTCAAATAGACTAAACCGGATCAACGTTTTAGCATTGCTTCCTTCAGCCCGGCCTACAATCTTAGGCGGAACAGACAGTTAGGTGATGAAGCAACCCAATCAGGCAACTACGTGACGTTATCGCCCATGCCGAGCTGTCGGATACGTAGCCTGCTTCGCCCTTTTATCTTCTTCCAACTTTATCACGTTTGAGTGATGGGTCTAAGATGACGATTATTATTATTATTATTATTTTTTTTTTTCTAGGAGGCAGAGGTTGTTCTTAATTTGTGTTAAATACTATTACGTGTTTAGTCGATTATTTTATAAGGCGTAAGAGTTAGTCAACTCATGTGGCAGGTACATACGTGTCATGCCAATGTATGAAAAGTAAATGAACACCGAACAATCAAAAGTCAATCAAGCACGTAAGTTAAGTAAGTATAATAACAATATGGGCCAGTGGTACTACAATTTGCTCCAGTATGGACATTACTGAAACAGTGCTTAAGGTAATCTCGTATAATTCGTGTATTTTATAGAATAGGTACACTTCAATATTCTAATCGACAGTCAATTTAACGCACAATACTGCCATGTTATAATGTATCGCTGTTTTATTTTTGAATCATTGAAAAAATATTAGTACCTACACTGGAAAAAAAATAATAAATAAAAATTCTGTATAATAATGAGTGCCTACACGAGAGCATATTGGATAGCCTGGCGGGTTTATTACAAAACTTTAGTATAAGTTAAATTTGACGGCCGCGTCAATTTGTCAAATTCCGTTTAATTTGATTAGCGTCTAGTTTCCGAACAATTGGCGGATAATCGATTACCTGAAGTTTGTTATTGTACCTAATTGTTATTTGTTAATGGAATTTGTACATTTTGCCTTAGCCAATGATATTCGGCAAAATGTCTCCAGCTCGATAACACCGAATTTGGAGTTTTACCGAGACTGTTGCTGTAGGCACATGTGTTGTTTTTTTCAGGATAAACTGACGCCATCGGATAAATCGGTTTTGTTTTTAAAACGAACGTTTTTATAAATTCACGTATACGCCTATATAATAATAATTTCCCATGTCACTAATAATACATTATATTATGCGCGTATTTGTTAGTTTGTTACTTTTTTTTTTTTGTACTTTTTTCGTTAATTATAGAATACGCGTACGCCACAGCTATTATTATTTTTTTTACCGGCTTTAACGTCAAATCGATATTTTCGCGACACTTGTGCATAAGTGTAATTATTATGACAATATTATTATCGTAGGTAGGTATACTTTTTCGTCGTAGTAAACGATTTCACGTTTTTTTCCTTCTTTCAGTTGTACCGTTGTCGAATTTCAAAGACGCCGTTATGGTTTCCAAACGAATACTCATCGCGTCGTCAATCGCGATTATTTGTATGGTTCAAGTGAGTTTAGCCCATTTAAATACGATATAAATTTATTTACACTCGCGTGTCGTCGAAACGAGCGGCCAACGTCATCCGTCCCCCTCCCCCACCTCTCCCCGTCTAGATATCTTTTTAACCACGTTTGAGCGCAATTGATTTTGAAAACAATTTCAAAAAACAACATTGTCAAAATTTTTACAACGGGCGCATCGTATAGTCAACTACATTTCAATACAAAACGTATAAAATCTCAAAATTATGGACCATTATATTGTAAACTGAACTTCGTGGGTTCTAGCTATAATCGTGTTGATGTTCACCAACATTATAATAGCATGCTGTATCCGCGTCAAGTACCTATTTGAAGCACGTTTACTTGTCCGGTTAATCTGGCCATAGCTTGACCTGCGAAATCAGCCTTTCACGGGATTTCAAAACAATATTAATAATAATATAAATATAATTCTAGAAAAAAATAAAAGTAGACAGATCAGTACCTAACCTAACCGAGTCTATCGGACTCAGTTCAATAGGTTAGGTTTATCATAGCTCAAAGATCGTTCGGCAACAGTATATAGAACGATTCGTTTAACGTAAAACACTCATTATTTCACAAATCATTGATTTTTTCAAACAAATTATTTTTGATAATTTAAGAAACAAGCAGCTTAGAGCAGCTCTAAAATGTTGCACTGTTTTTATTTTTTCGGGACGGTCGGTGAAGCCACTATTTACTTTTGATTTTCAACTGGTAACCTATAATCAAAATTCCATACATTGTTGGAGGGGAAATACATTTTTCACTTTTATGTTTGGGTACATGGGAAGAGTAGGGGAGTGCTATTAAAACGCTGCGTGCCTGCGTGCCGTGCTGCCACATAAATAATGCACCACCATTTTCCTTCCACTTAAAATTAAAAGTGAAACATCTCGTCAACGGGTTGACGGACATTAAAAATGTTGACACCAAAATTCACACACACACACACAAACATACATACACACATAGTACATACGTGCATACATTCATACAGATAATAACGTCTGCGTCCGTATTCACATTAGAGAAAAATTGTTTTTTTTTACGTTTACCTAGGTCAGGGGTGACCAAACATTCGATCACGATCGACCGGTAGATTGCAGATGATTTAAATGTTGATCTCCATTTTGTTAAAATGTATGTTTATCTAATTAGTAAATAAATATAAAATAACAATTGCTGATCATTTTTATCTTTATTTTGTTATAAATTTATCAAATAATACAATATTCAACAGAGTTTATCCAAACAATTGTATTTACAATAATATTATATTCTTCTTGATAATAGTATGATGAAAATTATTGTTGAATTCATATTATTCGTTTAATTTCATAATATTGTGTGCTCGATAGTTAATCAACCCAATTTCTATAAACACTGAAAAATGAATCATGTCGAATGTGTAATCCGTTTTTGTCACGTAATTCATGCGAAAAACACGATAAAACTACAAGTCTTATACTAGTACATCCGATATGATAAACAATTATATAATCGTATTTTATAAGGATATTTATGTATACCTATGTTCGTAATTTATTGAGTAAATTTCAGTTAGTTGCTTGTCGACCGGACGGCGACGACGACGAAGAAGATAGCAAACCGGCGGCGGCGGCGGCAGATGAGGCTACTCCGGGCGTCAATACCAAACTGTCACCTAAACCCCCGGTATCGTTGAAACCCAAACTGCGTCAATTCGCAATAATACCAACCCCGGAAACATTAAAGGTAGTGTACTATTATAATGTTAGCGTTACTGATGTCGAATCAGGTCGAAAAATCGTCGTATTGGAATGAAAATTAAATTCGTAGGAAAATGATATATTATTGGTGTTTTATTGTTTATACTCGCAGGACGATAAGGAAAAAGAAGAAGAAGAAGAAGAAAAAGAAAAGAAACCGAAACCCAAGAAGCATAATTATATCATTCGAAAAATAATCGCGCTGCCCAAATTAATTTGCAGTCCTTTCATATCTATTTGGAATATATTTAAAAGAGGGACAAGACACTTTGGTCTCTTCAAGAAGAAGATTGCCGAAGAAGAGGATTGATTATCAAACAAATTAATATAATCATATGTTTCTGATGTATTATAATAGTATTTAGTTAAAGACCAATAATACATTATCATTAAAACGAATTTATCATATTATTATGTTAATTTATTTATATTAATATATCACAACAATATTGTGCAACGGTTTGTTGGAATATCATTATACGGACTTGGGAAAATCGCATATTACAGACTAAAAATAGATTTAGTTCTAGTACTTTCCAAAATTATTGACGGTAAATAAAATATTTCATTCCCGAATGACACACGGACATTACTCCAGCATCCACACATATGATTTTCACAATTTTAGATTCTGAGTGGAGCTAAGAAGCTTATGGTTTTACAAAGATTTTTATTTTTATTCTGTGGACAAATTTTCTACCAGCAATTTTGCTTTAAATTTTAATGACAGCAATATTTCTGAAAGGAAATTTCACCAGGGAGGTACTTTAAAGAGGTTGTTTTTCCATTTTCCCCGGAGTTTTCTCAGCAAATGTGAAAATCTGGGAAAATCGGTACGACATTAAACAAATATTATTAAAGAAAATGTATTGAGTCTATTTAATTATTTTACTATAATATGGCATATATATTGTTAAAAAAGCATCATTATCAACTGAACTCCACTCTGAATCGCTTTTTCGTAAGCAATGTTTTATATCGTTGCTTACAGGTATACATTAAATTACCTATAACAATGGCTGTACCCGTCCCCATTATCCTTGAACGTCTTTATTTTGCTTATATTTAGTCAGTCAGCCAGTCGTGTCTGTTTGTAAGTCTATTTTCGAAATTCGTACCACCTCTCCTTCAAGTCCAAATAGTGATCTATGCATTTGGGCATTTTCCCAACAACTGAACTTCGTTTTATACGTATATTTTGAATTTCAAATTTGTTTCCAATATTGTTACAATAGGCATAACTTCTGCTACTTAGAGAGAAAAAGCTAGAATGATATTAAATATACCAGAACCTGAATCATAATTACTTTAATACACTTAATACTTTACTAGCTAGTTGTAGTACAACGGCAGGACTAGTAAATGAAAAAATGTGCAAATGTTAAAACCTTGTCCACGCCCTAATTAGATAAGTGGGAAAATATATGATGATATCGATGGTGGAACGTTTATTACTTTATTAATACAACAATTTAAAAAATAAATTATTGTAATTTGTTCTACTTATTAGATCGTTTCATATTTTTTCTTTACTAATTATATATTATGATGCCAGAAATATTCTTGTCTATTTTTATTATTTCTTATGCAAATTTCCGATTATATTGAGAAAAATTAGCTACTGTAGTTAGTGGTGGGTCTAGTTTTTTTTTTTTTTTTTGGGGGGGGGGNTTTTTTTTTTTTTTGGTGGGGGGGGGGGTTATTGTTAACAATAAAATATACACGTTTCTAATTGATTTTACAAGGAGTAAGAGTTAGGCAACTTATAGCAGATACATACGGGTCATGTTAATGTGATAAAAACAAACATTAATTGCAATTAGAGAGAGAGAATGGCTTATGAAATTTACGTTGAATATTTTTCACTCTACTGTATTCAAATTTAGGGAAAATATTATCCAGACGTTTTAAACATAATAATTCATTAACTCTTCAATTTATAAAAAAAAATGTACAAAACTAAAGAACTGAAAAATTAATCAGTCACAATTGTTCGTATTTTTAACGAACTTTAACATAAATTTAAACACAAAAAAAAAGAAAGCTTTCTAGGATAATGGGGACGGGTACAGCCACTTTTTTAGTTGAGATAAAATAATTGAATTAGCATTATATATTTTCTTTAATCATATTTATTTAATATATATAGATATTTGAGATATATATATATAAAGATTTTCCCGTTTTACTACGTTATTCCTGGTTTTCCCATGTTTTCTCCCGAATTTCATATTTGCTGGAAAAACTCTTGGGGAAAATCGACTTTCCTAAAGTACCACCCCAAAAAAGTTTTCTTTCCGAAAGAGATCTGCATCGTATGCGTCGGGGTAAGCTTAAGTAAGTAAGGTTTCAGGTAATATTTTATGTTTTGAAATTTAGTTATTAATGCTTTAACGCTTTAAACCGCGGTAATAAACAAAAAATTGAATTATATTATATTATTAGAACTAGTTGTCTCCCGCCCGGCATTGCCCGTGCTAATTTGTATTATTATTATTTTACCCATAGTAATTTTTGGTTTTGGTCGTGTCAGAATTGAATGAAAACATATAGATGGAAAGTGGGTAGTCTACCTTCAGTGGACTAAATGTGCTCTATTGTAAAATTTTAATGGTGCGAATAATAGTGATAATATTAATAATAATTATTATTATTATAATAGTTTTCTTTTCCATAACACCAAATTAACCTTTGAATAAACAAAAATACATAAATAAGCAATTAGATACTCACACCAAATATACCTGAAACCCCTATTTTACCCTCTTAGAAGTTGAATTTTCAAAAATCCTTTCTAATTGCACGATGAAAGTATTAGAGAAATCACTATTCTAAATTTAAAATGCGTACATTGAGTAGTTTTTGAGACACAGCGATCAGTGAGTACGTGGTATTTGGATTTTGTATACAAAGATAAAAAAAAAAATCATTAGCACAAAAACGTAACGAGTTAAAAAAAAAAAACGCATCAACCAATCGAGGTGGTCCGTGACCACTCTAAAGTATTGCCTAGTGCCCGAAAACGGTTAGACACCGCTGTTTTTTGCACAATGTTACGTGTTTTCCGTAACATGGTTCTGCTCACTTTTATTATAACTATCAAAAAATAGCAGAATATGCTATTTTTTTGAAGCGAAAAACATTGAAATACATTTGTAATTATCATAGTAGGCAAAATTGATTTGGGAATAAACTCTTAATTATGGTGAGGATTTTTACTATGACTTTCCACGTAATACAAATAAATCTATTTTTTGCATTCAAAATAGTTTCGTTTTTTAAAACGCTTTTTCGGTAAGTCAAAATTCTCAGATTATTTTATGCAATACTTTTAAACTTTAAAGATTTTTCGATGGTGACATCATTTTTTAAAAAATAATATCTAGATTCTCAACAGTTTTTCTATAAAATTAAAAAAAAAAAAAACAGATAACATTATCGGTTTTAGCATTATTGATTTCTAGATTACAATTACCTACAATCGAAAAACACGTTTAATACCAATAAATATTTTAGCTATCCGGTTACCGAGCTCCGCTCAGAGTAGGTCTTTAATGGCGACTAATTATCGTTGCTTGTAGTAAATAAATTACCCTTTATCTCCCATACCTCGTGAAATTCCTATCTATTATAATAGTGTCTCATAATCACTGTGTGCTAGGTACGTTTGGGCTACTTAAAAAAACGTTTTATTTACACGTATTCAAAATTTAAAATAAATAAACAATAGATAAAAAAAAAAAACATAGAAAATTCAAATTTTATATTTTTAAGATAGTTAATAAATAATTTGTAAAATTAACCATCAGCACAGATGTTCTAGGTTTCAAATTTAATTTTAAAACAAATTGCGTTTCTATGGAAAATAAATTATCGCGGTAAAAAAATTAACAAACCGAAGAATCGAAAAACTGCAAAAAACAGTTACTACTATAACTAGGCATACTATTTACTATCATTGTAGAATTAAGGGAATAAATTAAACGCTATCGTTATAGACAATTGTAAATGTTTAAACTATGTCTTTTTTGGTGTAGGCAAAAAATTCATTTTATTATTTAAAAATGTGTTTAATCATTTAAAAAGTAAATTGCATATATTTAAAAAATAAGAGTTAACATTTTGTTGGGTTTTCGATATGCGATATTTGATCTACTCAACAAAAGTACATAACTTAACGTCATAACACTAGTTAGCAATCTAGTTTATTATCTATTTCTTTGATCGTATATTAATAACTTCTATGGCGACGATACCGTTGTGTTTTATTAACAGTATTCGTGTTACTTTGTTGTTTCGATATTGTAATTATTATTTTGTTTCAAAGAAAAATGATGTACCTACGCGACTCTGATACGTCCGGCCTTTGTCTGGCGTGTTTTATATCTTTATAACTTTTTATAACACCTTGTCATTGTTTATCAAGTTTTACTAATTTTTTTATTCGATGAGACACATTATTAATATCAGTCAATGTATAATTTGGGTTTATCTTCGAAAAACTTACAAAACTTCTCCTACAAAGGACATATTATACAGGCTCCAGGTACTATTTTTTACCTCATACTTTTAATGATGTAGGTGTTTAATATTTCACCAGATTAGTATTATTATGCATTATTTATAAATATAATTAAAGCGTGTGTCTGTTTTTTATTAATGTATTAAAAAAAAAAAAAAAAAAACACGAAAACAGTTTAATTAGTATTAATTTAATATCTCGATTAATTCTGTAAATAATTTTATGTAGAACGATATCATAATAATTCGTTGTTTTTTATTTTTTTTTCTAAAAATGATTTTGCTGAACTTTTACTAAAGTCAGCAGAACGTGCAATTATTTTAAAGGGAAAAACATTTAGATACATTCGTAACTATTATAGTAGGCAAAATTTATATGCGGTACGGTATTTTGCTCTGACTTTTGCAACGATGATAACAGATGCTTTGCGAGAAAAGACCCGAAAAAATAAAGTGAAGACCGAAGATGGTGAACTATCGAGAAAAACATATTATCAATTATAATAGAAATTCCGTATATTTTTTAGAGTTCTGTGTCAAAAAATCGGATCATATACACTTGCTCAAATATTATAGTATAATAATATATATCCTGCCACTTTTACATAGTGTTTTTTTTTTTTTTTTATGGGATTAATTTTGCATAGCGATTTTAGATTTCGAAAGAAGCGTGTAATGTATTAGTTTTATAATATTTTTATTATTTTTTTTTATTTTTTATGTGAACACTTTTTTTTTGTTTTAAAAATCATTGTTGTCATGGAAACGCACGTTGTTTTAATCATTTTATCATAATATCATGTATACCATATATTGTATTGTTGACAAATCCACATTATCAACTGAACTCCGCTCAGAATTGTTTTTTCGTTAGCAATGATTTATCGTTGTTTACAGATATACATTAAATTCCCGTCTGTTTTATAACTTTCCTACTTCCTATCTACAACAGTAGTTGCAACCACGTGCGAAGTATGTTCGTCCTTTTTTAATGTGTTTTTGTTGAATATCAGTTTAAAATTCAAATCGTATTTAGTTTATATTTATAATGTTTGTCAATTATATTTATTACATTTAGGTTTTGTGCATTTGGACTATTATAACTAATAATATTAATTCATTTCTTACTATTGTACATAATAATTTATCATTATTGATGACATTTACGTTGGTTAAAGCATGGTGGAAACTCATTAGGTCTTTTTCGACCTCTGGCGTGGCTTCAACAGCCCGCAAGTCGATATGTATGCCACTAGCAATTCCAAGGACGGTTTTTTTCGCTAAACATATTTATCTTGATCAATACCTTTATTATAGGTAATAGGCATATATAATATTTTGATACTTTTTATAATTTGGTTTATTCATACTGCATATACGTACGTTGTACGTTGTATCCTTATAGTTGAATTCGATGTAATTCCTTTTACGAATTGGCCATTTACACAACGAAACAAATATTCAGTCTTTATTATATATATTGATTTTGAACTATTTGGAATATGTTATTGCTTCAATAAAATAAAGTTTATTTAGGTAACAGGCTATAATTGCCTACATTTTTGACTTCGGATTCCAAAAATCCGGATTACCGAACCTCGGCAAACATGGTTTTTATCCACTACTAGAAACAAAACACAACCGAATAACAGTAAAAAAACGAACTATTTTTACCGTTTGACAACCCCTAGTATAAAAATAAAACGATTTAACCGCAAATTTAGTCGTTGAAATAGTTTTCGTTCGAAACTGCTTTATAATAAATATAATTTCTAAAAATTATTTTTAAACCTTAATGATGTGATAGCAATAATTATTGGTGTCCGAGAATAACGTTGTTAAATTATTATAAAAAAAAAAAAAAATATTAGTACAAAAACGTAACGAGTAAAAAAAAGCGCATCAGCCAATTGAGATAGTCCGCGATTGGAAACATGTATGTTGTAGATGTGCCTTAAAATTCGTATGTCACCTTCTTAGATTGCATCCGCAACTCACATGGTTTTAATATATGGTTTTTATTACTTTTTTCGTAATTAGAAAAAACTGGTTTAGACTAACAGTAATTATTAATAATTAATTAGTTCTTAATAGGAGTTACATAATTACACAATTTTTTAATTCAAATTATAGGAAGTAATCGGCTGTTGCTCGTGTTAATCATTTATATTATCATACGAGACTGCAAACGTACAATACAAAAAAAAAATAATAAAAATAATTTATTACTGGACGATAAATTGTTAAAAATCTTAAGCAATTTTTCTACTACTTTGGATATCGAACAACGAGTTTTTCTGTCAGTGGCGAAATATAATGGGTAAGGAACAAAATCGATACCTTGTAATTTTTAGATTGGAGCAATATTTCCAAAAGATAACATCGTATTGACATAATAAAAACAATGAAAATGGTAACGCCGCGGCGTGCCATAAATATTCGTTGTTTTTCCTATACTTTCCTTTTAGGTTTTTCCCGATCATTTCGAAAATCCTTTAGAAAATTGAAAAATGACCTTGAAGTACCACCCTAGAAAATTTCCTTTCAAAAAAGGTCTATATCGTATACATCGGAGTAAGCTTTCTGGTGGAAAAATTGTTTACATAGAATCTTTGTGAAACCAATACATTCTTCGATACACTCAGAATCTAATATTCCATAAATAGATGAAGTTTTAGTTTAAATACATTTTGGCATTGAAACCCGTTGACGGAAATAAAAAAAATTTCAACACGAAAATGCAATGCACGAAACGCTAGCGAGTTATCGTAAGGCAGTGACGATAATAATAGTAATAATAATACATAGAACACTTTGAAGTAGGGAATGGTAAAAATGGGAATTACGGTGGCAGTCGTAGTATGTAGTGATGGCGGTCTAGTCGAGTGGATGAGTAGTGCTGTAACCCTTTAACGGAAATCGTGTTTATTTAATTTTTTTTTTTTTTTTAACTGTGAACAAATTTTATACCAGTAATATTGCTCCAATTCACAAGTGTAACACTTTTTCTAAAAGGAAATCTGACTAGAGTGGTATTTTAAAGAAGTCATTTTTTGATTTCCCCGTGAGTTTTCTTAATAAATGTGAAATACCGGGAAAAACTTGGGAAAACCGGGAGAACGGAAAAATAGGTACAAATATTATTAAAGAAAATGTTTAATGCGTATACAATTATTTTACCATAATATGATATATATATTGTTGACAACGCGACATTTTCAACTGAACTCTGCTCAGAATTGTTTTTTCGTTTTCGTTAATCGTCACTTACAGATGTACATTAAAGTCCCGTAAATATTCTATCTCCCCAACTTTCCATCTACAAAAACAGTGGCTGCACCCACGTGCGAAGTATTTTAATTGAATATATAATTGCACTTAAACGTATAAAAACTCGAATACGTTTTTTTTGTCTATTAAAATAAAACTGGATCATTTTTTTTACTGTTACCGGTTACCGTTACCATCAATCGTTCGAAAACTTTATTGTTGAATTTTTGAAAAAAAAAGGATAAAAATGCTTATAGAAATAAACTTAAAAAAATATTGTGATATATAGATTTAAATGACTACCTTAAATGTATAAAAAAATATTTGTAATTCATTTTTATCAATTTGTTTTTAATTCCAATAGGGCCCCAAAAATGTGTAGTGCACAAGGCCTCTGTTTCTTTAAATCAGGCCCTGCAGCCCTATAATATATTTTGATATTTATTGATTTATTAAATCGATAGATTAATTTTTGTAAGACGTAACCAAAATTTTAAACCTTCCCCAAGACTAGACCAATCCAATAGCGAAAATCGTATTAATATTATTATTAAATATTTAATTATATTTAAATAATTATTAAATATTTGTCAAGGTATGTGCGCATTAAAAGAAAAAAAAAAGCTTTTAACAGTATTCAGTAAAGTTTTTCGCAGGCTTTTTTAAACCTGATGAATGTTTTTTTCCTTCATAAATTATTGTATACGAATGCTAATTTTTAAACGCTAACAGTGTGTCAAGTTCTGTTTAAACATTTATACATATTGTTTACCTTCGACAATATTGACAAGCGTACACAAACGCGTTTCTCACACTGCATGAACAAAATAATTTAAACGTTAGGCTGATCATTTTTTATAGATTCCGAGTAGATTGAGGAAATTCGTATTGATTTTACTAATCCTTTTTTTCTTTTTTTTATGGTTAATAAAAATCAATTAGCACTTTCACAAATAACATACCTAGCTTAAAAATGCTGATTTTTTACACAACGATACTTGAAATGTTTTTATTTTCCCAAACAGAATTTCTTAAAAAAAAATACTGACAAAAATAATGACGACACATCGGAAGTCCATAACACAGGGAACAAACTATTTCAGCTATATAGTTTAACTTATTTTCGGAAATTGTTGGAGGGGCATGAGGGGTCTAAGTCTGCTCAAAATCTGTGATTAGAGAAAGTAGTTTGCTTCAGATTACTAATAAGTTATTAGTTCTTAGTGAGGGCCTTATACCTCCTCAAGCAGTCAAGCCCTACAATTTCCGCTATTGGTTAAACCCATTAAAGTGAAACGAAATACACTCAGTTTATTGTTTGCGGTTAATACATTTTGGAGTAAAATCGCGTATAAATATCTTATACATTTGCTAGATACCTATTTCTAGCAGTGTTTATTACCATTGATCGAATTTCGCGTAACCAAGTTATTATAAAACAGTTACCGAATTATTTTCCCGTGGTTCACGGGATAATAATATAATCACATGCTCGTTTCCAACTTCTTTCGGGTTAAATAAACACATTTAAAACATTTAGTCAATGGCGCAGACTAGACAATTTTCCGGTTTAACAATATTATCGTTTATAAAAATGCAGATTAGCTAAATGTTTTAGAAAAAAAAAAAAAAAAAAAACACATCGTTTAAAATGTCATATCAATTGTCTTTTTTTTCAAAGAATAATTATACGTGACTATTATTTACGACCGTGAGTCCGTAGTTTTGCGACACTTGTGTGAATATATAATTTATCGAGTGTACGCAGAAACCAAAAACATAAAACACTTGAACCTGTCGGAATCGTCATTAGTTAGTGGCTTTGGTTTATTATTATTATTATTATTATTAATATATTTTTTGTACTTTTCCGTTTCGATTGATCATTGTAAAATAACTACCTGTAACTATTCCTTATAGTAAACATGGTTTCCGCGCGGATTTTGATATCGATGGTTGTAATAATTTCGTTGGCCCAAGTGAGTTTTGGTCGATATATTGTCAATGATTAAAGTGAGGGGGGGGATTATATTTACGGAAAATTCAGGGCCCTATACAAGCACTAACGAAACAAAATTCCAGGAAAATCACGGAATCACGATTTTCCAAAATGTTTTTCCCCACATATACTCGTTTATGAAATGTTTATGTTAATAGGGCTTAAAAAAAAAAGTCTTAATCGTTAACATAGAAAAAAATATTATCATTTATAAAACTAGTTTAAAATTTTCAAGATTTAAAAAAACTGTCGATGAACATTTTTTCGAAATCGTAATGTTATTAAAAACTATAATACAATTGCTTTTCTTGTGAATGACATAAAAAAACACTGTGTGTAAGTACTATTAATTGTTAATATAAATGTCTTATATCAAAATAAATACTCTTATAATTTCATATTATTTTTCTGCTTATTATTTTAAAGAAATTCTTTGACGTCTTTTAAATACCATAGTACTGTAAAATAGTATGTGCGTATATTTCAGCGCATTTTCGCAGTGGCAATAACTAAAGCGTTACGATAATCGTAACACTATTATAAAATTATTGTCATCGTAGTCACTGACATTGAGTTATTCTGTTGAAAATTTAGTTCATATATTGTCAGGGGACCCCGCCGAAACCCAAGACCAGCCCAGTCAAATCCACCACACCCGTTAAAGCCGCTGCAGCTCCCAAAGTCACGACGCCGCCGTTAGTAGAAAAAAAACCATCAGCCAAGGCAGCCGAAGAGAAAACTGGAGCGAAACCCGAGGAAAATACTCAAGAAAAAGTCGAAGAAGAAGAAGAAGAAGAGGTATAAAAAGGAACTTAATAAACTTCAGACATGTGTGTTGTATAGAAATCGTAAAAGACGACCAATACCGTTTTCCACGCACTGAAAAAACAGAAATGCCAAAGTAGCTGGTTTTCAAAATGATCTTCCTATAATTTAAAGCTGCATAATATGGAATAGCTTTATATATTGTTAAAATTACCTACTATTTTTATTTAGAGATTTAATTCTACTTAAAAGTACTAAAACTGCAGCTATAATTTATATTGGTGGATGGATTAAAATGATATAGGAAATCTACCAAAATTTTCGAAACATTTAAGCCATTTTTGAGCAATCTATAGACATTTTAATTTTATGAGTGTTTTACGCAATGTTTAATTGGTAGGTAGTCTAAACAACATTTTTAGACTAGACATTTGGATAACACACGACATAAGTGGCTTATTTTCTATACGGGTGACTAAAGTATGACTCACTTTCAGCATTGCTAGTGTAGTAAGTCCTATGTATAAGATCATACATGGCTAAATTGATTTAGAACACCGTATTTTAATATTAAAAAAAAAAAAAAAAAACTAAACTTCTTACATATTTTTAAATATTGATTACTTTAAAAATTATTTCAAATAGAAAAATAAAGTAGGTACCACCTAATAGATTATTATAAAATTTATAAAATAATCAACAACTTATATTCTGTGGTTCTGACAGACCGTATTTCCTGGTAAACAACGTTGAAATAAAACGTACGACTTCACTATTTATCATTTATGGCGATTAAGGTTCGCAGCTTCTCGTTTTCGCGATTCAAACATTGGTACTTATCTAGTTTCTTTAGAATTTATAATTGTCGCGAGGATTTTTAGAAAATCGGGTCCGCATCGGGAAATCGGGATATATTAATAAAGTTGTACATTAATAATTATCATATTTTCCTGAAAATTCAATTATCTATGTACGGAATCAAAAGAAAACACAACCAAGTGCGCCAAGATGGCTGATCATTATTCGGTACAAAAGACGAACAAAGGAATATTATACGTCCATATTATTTTGTCAGGGCAAATAAAAATATTTAACCAAACATTTGTTTTAGCTAAACATAACTGTAACAATTATCAGATACAAATCGTACTTATAAAATTGTTTAGTTATAATAACTCTATGGTCATAGCGAATACGCCTAAATGATGGTCACCCTAACTTTGTGTTTTTTACCTGTGCTCTATTACCGATTTATTTTTTTCAGTGCGGCACAGAAAACTTGCAGACATTTTGAAAATCTCCACTGGGCTTTCTATTATATTAATTATTCTCAGATATGGAAGTATGGAATTGTAGAGTTTATAACCGAAGTTTGATATTTTAGTGTTTTTTTTTTTTTTTTTTTTTTGATACAGGAATTTCACGATAAACTTATAAATGAGGGATATATTATGTGAAATATTGACTATGATAAACCTGAAAAACTCGAGCGATAACAACAATAGTTCGAATTAAACAGATAATAACACAAAAAATTAGAAAATAATAATTAAAATTTCTATTTATTCGTCGGAAAACGAAAATATTGTGTTGTTTTTGGTTTTTTTTTTTTGGGCTCAGTTGCCTTGTTACGTTAATTTTACGGACGTAAACTGATTTCGGAAGATAATATACCAATTGTTATATCTCTGAATATAATAAAGATAATCAAATTCTGTTTTTTTTTTTTTTTTTTTAATTACTTACAAGGATAAGGACTACAAATATTTATATTTAAAATTTCTATTTTTTCATGTTTTGGTAAAAATTTTAAAAAGATAACTATTTATTTTATTTTTTTAAACTATTTTTTTTTAAAAAAATCAATTAGCGAATGACATATAATTATATAGATACCTACTTTTCTTTGAACTTTAAAAAATTATTAAAAATCACAAATTTAATGAAAATAAAAAATTGAAACGTCAAAATTTTCAGAAGATTCATAAACTCAATAAAATTTCTATCTTTAAATTTTTCGATAATAATAAAATATAAAGTCAAGTTTTTAGTTTTTCTTTGCCAAAACATACAAATTTAATTCAAATACAAATATTTATACCTACTCCTTGTCCTTGCGAGTAACATAAAAAAGAAAAACAGTATTTGATTATCTTCGTTATTTCAGGAGGTATTGCAATTGGTATATTTTTTTGAGATTTACTGGTATATTAAATTAAAAACTCGAATCTATCAAAATCGGTTAAAAAAATTATAATTCGTAAGTTGGCCGTTATTTCTCACGAAATGACCTTTAATATAAAAATTATTCGTAATATGTATAACAATTACGATCGATTGAAATATTGTCCGAATTCGAGGTTATTTATTATTATGATGCACACGAAATAATAGTATTTTGTTTGTTTTATAATATTATTTATGGTTTGTTGGTAGGAAGCAGGACTCGAACCAAATTCTCTGGTGCCGGAAGAAAAACCAGGTGTAATAAAAAGAATATGGAACTATATCTCTTTCTGGAATCCTTTTAAAATTATAATTAATCCGTTCATTACGGTTTATCGCATGATTAGAGGCTCTCGTGCGGACAAAAACAAAATGGAACCAGAAGAATACGTACCGAAATTTAGTAGTAAGAAAAGACCATGAATCTCTAATAGTAATATTATCTTGATAATGATAATGTCGACGGTGGTCATACGATGGTAGGTATTCAGATAATTTGACTGTATGAATAAATTATTAAAATTATTAAACTGATTATACAAATAAACGCTTTTACACGCCTATTATAATATACGATTGCCTAAACATTTTTAATGATTTCTCACTTAGTCACTACCAACAGCAGTGTTCCCATTAATTTTGTTGAGAGTTTACTGTAATTGATATATCATTCTTATGAATTATATTGTTTACAGGGAAATAGATATCAATTATATAAAAAATTAAATTAAAATTACTAAAACAAAACACTCGGCAGTTTTAAAAATAAAGTACTATTTTATGCATCGTAAGAAAATTGTGAAATTATAATAATTATAATAGTTACTGAAATAAATACAATTTCAATTACTATTTCGGTTTTGGTTGCATAAGTGCTATGAACAGCTCATTGATTTTTAAGTGTAGCACCTTTTCTGAAAGTAAATCGGTATGAGGTACTTTAAGGAAGTCATCTTTCGATTTTCTCAGGAGTTTTCTCAACAAATATGATAAAATAACATGGGAAAACCGGGAAAAACGGTACATTAAAAAAAATAAAGATAATATATAATACTTTATAAATTATTTTACCATAATACGATATATATATAACAGCTTTGCATAGTTTTGTCGTTCAATTCCCAAGGTTTTTGTTGTAGGCTAACTTGTTTTTGAAAACTAAATTTAAAACTATTAATTTATTTAACACGCTTGCTCTTTTCACTGATCATTTCTCGTAATTCAATTTAATCCATTATAAAAACTTATTAGAAAATTTAAAATCACCTTAATAACTATTTGTAAAAATAAAACCGTACGACGAGTTTTGAAGCTCAGCTAGCGACAGTAATCATTACACAAGAAATGTAATATTTAATATTAGTCATTCAATCTTATCAATGCATAAAATCATAGATTACGACTCTGAATGTATATACCAAAAATCCAATGACAAGTTATTAATAACCATCATAGTAATATTATGTTATTATAAGTAATATTATTACTTCATGATAAAAGATTTAAACATATCTATATATTTATGCATATTGTTTGAACATTTTTGAATCGTTTGTGAACCACTTATACATTCATTTCCTGCATATTGGGAGGCGACTATATTTTATTCCAAATAAGTTTAGAAAAATGTACGACGAAACCGCGTGTGGTTTCACGTAGATATGCGTAATATTCAGGTGATATGCCGGCGCCGAGCGCTGTTGGCGACCGATCACGACGAGTTTCGACGGGTGCCTATAACTATAGCCAGTGACAGTGCACATGCTTGCGTGATTTTTTCCCGACTTATTTGGAATAGACTATAGAGTATAGTAATAGACCCTTTTCGTTTGCGATGAAGTTTAGAGTTTAGTTTGCCGAGAGACAACTCGTATATACCCGGGAGGCAATTCGTATTAGAATTATCGACCTTTTTGACCTCGGTAGGCTACTAGTATACGCCTAATAGTCCCAATAAAATCGTTTAGAACGAATTGAGTCTCGGGTTGTTTTAGGGTATATACTAATTGAATTCTCTGAAATTTAAAATATACTTCTTATTAAGTCCATGTTAAAATGCTAACTGAGTCCCATTAAACTTCAAGATATAAAACATTTGCCTTCCCATTTTTGCAGAATTAGGACAGTAAACTGTTTGTAACAAAATCTTTTGCTTTAAGTATGATTAAAAATTTGTTTTTTTTGTTTAAAGTTAATTTTGAAAAAGTCTGTTAACTTCGCACGTGGGTGTAGCCACTGCTATAGATGAGAAGTTAAAGAGGTAATAGAGCGGAAATTGTATGTATACATGTAAGTAATGGTAAACCATTGCTAAGAATATACGATTCTGAGCTGAGTTAATTTGATAGTATAGTTTCTTTGTCAACAATATACATGTAATAATGTGGTAAAATAATTGAATAGGCATTATATAATTCTGGTTAAGTGAAAAACCGGGGAGAAACATGAGAAAACCAGGAAAACCAGGAAAATCGGTACAATATTAAACAATTATTGTTAAAAAAAAAAAAAAAATAATGCCTATTTAATTATTTTACCATAATATGACAAATATATTGTTGAACTCCGCTCAGAACCGTTTTTAAGTAAGCAATGGTTTATCGTTGCTTATAGATATAAATTATTTTGCGTTCTATACGACTATATTCTACTTCCGCTACTTCTCACCAATAACAGTGGCTGCACCCATCTTGCAAAGTATGTCAGTTTTTTTTTCAACATTTCGTAAATTTCCCCGTTTTTCTTCCGTTTTTTTTTTCGGGTGTCCACTTTTGATGAAAAAACTCCTAAGAAAATTGAAAAATGCTACACTTAAAAATCGGAGCAAGATTTCTGGTAGAAAAGTTGTCCACAGAAAAAAAAAAAAAAATAAACATCTTTGTATACCATACGCTTCTTTGCTCCACTCATAATCTAAAATTTGGCCAATATCTATATAATAATTGATTCGTGTGTATATACTGTATAATATTTGTATATACTTAAATAATAATAATGAAAAAATTGTTGTTTTGGTAAAAATGTATGCGATAAACTTTGAACAAATTCAAATCGTGTTATTTCCTTTAATTTGTTTAAACAGCTGCATTTGGTCTGTGATTATTTTTTCTTTGGTTTTTATATCGTTTTTAGTGTTAACTATATGGGTACTTCTCATTTTTATGTACCTATGTTCTGCATTATACATTTAACAAAATGTATTTAAATTGATAAATATTTGGATGGGCCAAATAAAACTTAGTATTGAATTTGAAATTATAAAGAGCCATTGGTGGCTGTTGTAAATGAGTGTATAAATGAGGCACAGATTTCAGGATGATAATGTGAGCTTTCGGATATTATGTAATTTTCAAAAATATAATCGGAAAGCATTCTACTTGATGATCTAGAGGTAAAATAATAGTTTAGTCATCGGTGAAATAATCATTGACATAATAATACTGGGTTTAAAAAACATGGGCTCAAAATGTGATTTTAAATATTTACCAAATTCAAGGGTTTTTATTTTTATTTTCTGCAATTAGACCCAATAATTGGATTTTTCTATAATCTATACCATACTTGGTGTAGTTTATAAAAATTAAAACGATTACTTCTAAGTAGTGCTGATGGCCAAACTTTAAATACTTTAATCAGCATGGTTTTTTTTCTCTATTAGGTATGCGATTCAATTATTACACACTGATTCCGAAGGCATTTCCTTTGACCCCTCCACACCCTCCCACCAAAACGACAAAACTATTGTAACAATAATATTATTGTTAACTACTCGTCTCAATATTTTTATTTGTTTATTTTTAGCGTATAGGAAATTAAATATTAAATTAAGTGTTTTCAGTCGTCGCCGAATTGCGGTTAGGCGGCAATAATAACTATCGACATTATACCTATGTATATATATTTTTTTTTGATACGACAGTTTCGTGTTTGTATTTTCACGACACTTGTGCGCATATAATTATCAAAACTTTTATGTACCTACCTCGGTATAGCAGTGCTACGGTAATAATATTAAATAATAACGGCATCTGATAAAATATAAAAAAACAGTATAGGTAACGTATCGGTCGCGTTAAATCGTCAGTTGACAATTTTCAAAGAAACAACATAAAAAAAAAAAAAAAAAACACTTTTACTATCTATATGTAAACTTATCTTTTCTAATCCGACAAATAATTTCGGTGCGGTTGTTGTTCAGCCCTCGGAAACAACAGCGACGATTCATCATGACTTGCATTAGGCCGCGGACGTTATTACTATTGTCATTGGTCGTGATAATATTTGCACCGATTCGAGTTAAGTATCGTTTTAATAATTTAAATACATAATTAATAATATTGTAACATCGAAGTTAACGTATTACTATGTTTATCATACTGCGGTCGAAAACCTGTGTTATACCCGATGAGAGCATATTATATAAAATAATATACGATTAAAGTGATATTATTACGAAAACAAACATTAGTTTATGGTTATTTTTCAATAAACAAATTTTCACAAACTCTGACCTCTCACTTTATTCACAGACAACATTTTTCATTGAAATAGTGGTGTACCCAAAATTCGTTCTACACATTGGGAACTTATATAAAATAGTAAAACAGGACATTGATTATCTTGGAAAATATTAATTTTTTTTAGAACTAAGTTTTTAGAAAACTGTAAGGAACACGCAACTTTCAAATGGTACAATACTGTTATGTTTTCGTCCTTATTTTTGAGGGTAAAACTGTTATTCACTTTTGATTTTCAAATAAAAACTTCTACATTATTATAAATTGTATAACCATATGAAGTTTTATTTTAAATAAATGTGGGTGTTAATTTTAGTCAACCCATTGAAGAAATATTGCATTTTTAAGTTAAAGCGAGAAGAGGAGTGATATTTGTGTGATGTGATTTGGCGTGTGATATTTTAAAGATGCTTGTTTCTAAAAATTTCGGAAAAAATAATACTTTCCGAGATAACAAGTGTTTTACATTATGTTAATGAATTTGTGTAGACGAGACAGTTTTTGTTTGTATGAAATCGAAAAATACGCTTTGTCTGATTTATACTCGTATATAGTTTTTTTATAAGAATGTGTACGTAAAAGTATTCGTTGTTCTTCTCGAACTATCTCCGATTGTAACTAATATTTTAAACAAGGAAATCTGGGATATAATAATATAGGAGTATCGAAAATAATGAATTTTTGTGAAAAAGATGTGGAGAATCGAACGATTTGGACATGTGGTGAGAAGACCGAAATTAGCCAACCTAAAAGCGGTAGTTGAGTGAAGACCTAGGGGAAAAAAACTATAGGGTATGACAAAATGACAAAAGAAGCGTTAGATGGATAGAGAGAAGATGCAGTGAATTGACAAGAGTGATGATTACACAATCGTGAGGAGTGAAAATCCGATCGATTTGGTCGTGAAAATCTTGAAAAGTTGTGTTAACCAGGAATAAAACCATAGCGACCATGTAGGTAGCTACACGTTATCATTACAATATTGTAGTTTAACGTTTGGTTTTAATTAAAATGTGGAATATAAAATTAATCAAAAAAATCTGAGCCCCGCGAATATTTCGAATAATTTTACTTTTTATTCGAGGTTAACATATAGAAATGTTGGACTAGGTTTATTGTGAATTTACTGGTCCGAATTAAAACCGAATACTTAGAACGTGTAAAATATATATGGTCGCAATGAGTTCATTATAATAAATTATAATGTACCTACGAGTACAATGTACTTTCGAATGTACTAATCGAATTATGAATTAATTTGTTGTAACCGAGTACATTATAAGTTTCTACCTGCTTTTAATTTGTAATATAATATTATATTGAAGCTTCTGAGTTTTGAAATTGATATTTTACAAATTATATTTTAGTGGATAACTTATACGAACGCTCAAAATGTCTCTCCTCCTGCAAGTGCCCCCGATGGGACTTCTACCGATGCTGCTGCTATTAAAGTTGGCCCGGCCGAAATGACGGCAACTCAACCGGCAACCTTGGTAATTACCATAATAATACAATATTTGAACACATTAATATGACCAAAAAAATACAACTACTAGCTGATAAACAATAGTTATACTCGTTAGTTATATTAAAAATTTGTAATATTGTTATATTATATTGGTTGTTGACGGTTCTAAAATAATACTATGTTTCAAATTAAAATTTGTAAAATTCCGGTTTTTCTCAGTTTTATTATTATGAAAACCCCTTGGAAAATCAAAAAATTAACTTGTTCAATTTACTAACTACATCCCAATTTCAACAAAAAAGTTCACTTTTTATTTTTTGATTAGTGCAAGTTATCTGTTCGAGAAGTTGCTCGTGAATAAATAAAAAACACACATATCATAGTAAAATCAATGGATCTCTCACCACACTTTTAATCAAAGAGATGTGTTAGGTATAACTCAGGTGGAGTTTGTTTTTTTTGCTTAAAAAATTAACTTGAAAAATGTTCAATATATTTCAATAGTTTGATATTTTATAATTAAACTGAACATTCATATTCAGTCCATTAAGTATTAACTAACTGCTTATATGTTTATGCAAACGAATTGTACATATTTAGGTTTATTTAATCAAATTTATTTAAACTAATTAAAGTATATTTAATTAAATTATAGTTCATGACAAAGATAATGATTTAGTTAAGTTAACACATTTAATTGAATATATTTTTCTATTAACTATAACTTTGAACTATTGTTCTAATTAATATTCACCATTGAGGGCGCAAAAATGATTAATAAGTAGCTAGTAATACTAATAAGTTATGTAATTGCATAATTATGTGCTCACGAGGAGCGGAGGTGAGAGGAATTGTTTGTAGATTGTCTGTGTATTGGCCAGTGTTACAGTCTACAGGGAAGCTTAATAAGGCTCGAAAAGCCTTAAAAAAAAAAAAAAAAAAAACTAGAAGTTCGGATGGTTACAATTTTGTTACACTGCACGTGTTCTCAAAATTTGTTTGTGCTCCTTCTGATCACAGTGTACTCTTATTTCATAATAAACTATATTACGAACGTTTACACTAATTTTTTCGCTAGAATTAAAGAAAAATAAACCTAACCTGTGACATAAAATTATGTCACTTGTTGATTATATTATGTTTTAGGCTAAAGGAAACAACGGGAACAATAACGCTGCCGCCCAACAGCCATCAACACCGACGTCGAATTTTAAACGTATTTTGTCGAACTCCATTGAATGGTTTTTAGAGATAAAACCCGTCAAGATCATATGGTCTATGATAATGAACACCAGAGACAATTTAGCTTCCTTATGCAAGCGTATTAAAACAATTAAATTAGTTAATAGTAATTCAACCCCATCATCATCATCGTCCAACAAGCCTAATTGAAAATAATACAATGTATAACTTAGTCCTAAAAAATATTTATTGTTAATTTTAATTATTTTACACACAGGTACTATATAAAAGTTTATAATTGATTGAATAATTTCAAAAAACAAATAATAATAATAAACAAAAAAAAAAAAAACAAATTGTATACGTTGCGTCGTGATGAAATGGATTATTATCTATTATATTAAAAACTCGATTTATATATCATGGAAATATAAAACTATAAAATGTTTAAATTTCAATGTGTAATGTTATATAATAATGTAATATAGTATTATCTTATTAATATTAAAAATGAAGTTAGTAAGTTTATTTAGATTGATGTTTGTTAACACTCCACGTCAAAACTACTGAATGGATTAAGCTGAAACTTGTCACAGATGTTATTCTCGACCAGGAATAACATATCGATGTAGGCCTCTTCGAATTCTACCCGTAAATGGGGGCTTATACATAGTTATTGGTATTTTTGGTACGTAAATCGAATCATTTTTGTTATTTCATTAGTCAACTTGGAGATACACAAAAAAAGAAGTTAAAACGAATAAAACCGAAAAATAAATAATAAGGTAGTCCGCGTGTAAGCACCGGGCGCTTTGACTACAGGGTTGCTATTGATATTTTTTTTAAGTTCTGTAATTGAATATTTTTACGATAAACGTATTATTAAATGCTCAATTTTTTTCTTTTGCTCATCGGTAAATTTTTCTGGCACCAGGTGGGTACCGATTTCGCTAGGCACAGCACTGCGCGTAAGGGCTGCATTATTTGACGCAAGTATACGCACATTGAACGATCATTGAACGATCATTGTAAAAAGTGGACATGGCCGAAATTTAGTTATCACGTGATTTGTATTTATTTGTCTTAACTACATATTTGTGTGAGGATTAGCCCATCGAACCGTTATAGAAATATAAGCCATCAAAGTTAGTGTTTAATGGAGAAAGTCCAGTTTTTTGTGTCGCCAGTAGAATTTGGCCCTTTAGATAAATATTGAAGCGCTAGCTGTATGTATATAATTAATATGACCATAATAGATAATGGATATTATTACCTGTACGGTAATATTATTGTCAATTATTGAATATTTCCAATAGTAAATATTATAATAATATTGAAAATAACCGACTTTCCAATTTATAATTGGTCCAATTGTATTATTCAGAGTTGTTTGACAAAACAAGAATATTAAAAGGTTTCATTGAAAACGGATGTTTCCATGTAAGAATGTGTGTGTTTTATTTTATATGCAGCTAGGGCTATAATGACGAAAATAAGTTTAAAATATGTATACCGATATTTCAGATCTTTCTAAAAACACCCCATTTAGATCCAAGTAAATTTGGTTGAAATATTTCGTGTTCTTATTTGTATAATGGGGCATTTACGTTTTTGGTATGGAGGACTCGTCGAATTTAATTTAATTTAAGTGTATAAAACTTAGAATAAATAATATTGGAAATTTATCAACTTAAAAATGTTCAACTTCCATACTGAGTAAATATAAAATGAGTCCTATTGTGCCATTATCTCAACTATTTGGAGACAGCTGTGATTTTTTTTTTTAATTAATTTAAAAACAAATATTGGATAATGCTCTAAAAAAAGTGCAAGCTACGACACAGATAATCTTCGTAGACACCATCTTAATGTGCTACGAAATTTTTGTAACTCATTACTATAAATATGGAAAGTGTATATAGTTGACCTGCATAATACAGTTTTATAATCGAATTACGGAGGATACCTATTCCGTCCTTTTATGTTTGTTTTTATTTTTAGCATATTTCGACGATGCAGTTTCGAGCAAGTTACTAGTTACTAGTTTAGACAACAAACTGTTTTGACGATATTGTTTATTGTAATTGGATGATAACTGATTGCGCATTTTGAAAACTAGGTTAATGGTTGTTCAATGTTAATATACTATAAAGTAAAAGGTTTTTGGCGATATCAATAAATAGTATTTAAAATCCGTATTCAATACTTGGAAAAGTATTTAAATACCAATACTCAAGTACTTTAGAATATTGACAATTAATATACTCCTTGCTTTGCTCATAATCTAAAAGCTTTCCTGAGAAAGGAACTGTGATAAATATGTTCAAATATATTGTAGAATTTGAGTAAGAGGTAAGAGGTAAATATTTTTTTTATAAAACTATTAACGTAATTTATACCAAATTTATATATTTGTTCGATTTTTTTTTCGGTACTATATTGATATTAAAAAAAGTCATTGTATTTATGTTTTTGTATATTCGCAAATATTATAAAAAGTATTTATAAGTCATAAAATATTTACTTATTGGAATTAGTTTTTAAATAGCTTTTATAGTTTTATACAAATATATTATGATTCATCCACGATTTATGCACAATCATTTTTGTTCAAATTTATAACCCTTACAAGAATTGTGTATTTCTGAGATACAGCAAAAATACTGTAGTGTCTCACTATTCATCTAATGTTAATTTTATTATCGGCCATTGGGTGATTATAGTTTTTTCCTCCATACAATACCATACAATTCGTAACCATCTAATATACTAGACAGCGTATTTGAATTCTTCGTGTTCTATTATTTTTGTTTTGTTTTAAATAAATCCACGTGTTTGACAATAGTGTCGTGGCGGTGGAGACGGTTACAATAACATACCGGGATAGTAATTTCTCATCGTTTTTCGAGAAGCAGCGCCAACAATTGATCTATTTTACGTAAACGATATTCACGAAACGTCACAAGTATAATATTATAATTCTTTTAAATACTAAAACGACCAAGTGCTAAATCCTAAATAATATAATAACAGTATAATAATAAGTATTCGCAACATCATTGAAATTCAATACCAACTTCAAGCAATCTCAACAATTAAAAAAAAAAACAATCAAAAAAAAAATGGCACACTCCTTAAGATTTCAACTGACAAGACGTCCCAATAAGAACCCACATCAGAATCGCACACTCCTTTTTCACAAACTCATACTTAATTTGTAAAGAGCCTCAACCTGTATGTGAAACATGCCACAAAGCACTTACTATTAAACACATAATGTAGGAGTGCACACAGTATACTTCAACACTCATTGACTTGAACATACCACTTAACATAATTGAAGCACTTGACGAAATTGATCGAAAATCATCGCTTTCTTAAGTATTACAAATATTCTTAGTAAATTGCAATTTTAAACCTAACTTAGCCTCAATAATATATAATACGTAACATTTTAATATGTAGTATTGCATCTAAACCTAGCACCTAACATTTATAATATGTAATATCTAATAGCTAACAAGCTTTGCAGTTAAACCCTTAAAAAAAAAAATGCATAGACCTGTATCATCAAAGACGTATTTTCCGAGTATTCTATTTTTAGATATTTAACCAGAACCAGATATTCGCATGATGGATAATTTTATGCCGTATAATTCTATTATTAGACACTGAAAAATTTAGTTCATATAACTAAAGTAATGACAAATAATTGCAATCAAAAAAGTTACAGAGCAGAGTTCATTAAACTGTTTATATTTTACAGTTTAAGTATTTTCCTACCTAATTATAACTTTAATTGATAACCCAGAAATAAAAACCAATAAAAACAATGTATTTTTATTTGTTAACAGTTTTCATAAATTTTATTAGGAATCTATAAATCTTTTTTATACCAGGCAATGAAAAATTTGCATTTTTTAAGGTACCATGTGTATAAATTGTAGCATATTTATACTAACTAAAAAGTGCCTAGGAGGACACGGAGTTCTAAGGGTGAATTATTGAGAATTTCAATTAATGTTTCAAATAAAAAACCATCAAGCATAATCCGCATAATTTAAGGTAGGTACAACTTGAAATCATCAGTTCATTTTTGCAACCGAAAAAGTTTTTCTTAAGCAAAAAAAAAAAATTCTCTATACTATACAAGCTCTTTGTGCTTTTGCTTTGTTCAGAAATACTACGGTGAACAATCGTATTTCTTAATAAAATGCATATAATATTATGCGCGTATAATTTGACCGTTATCAAAGATTTTCAAATTCCATTCGAAAAGTACATAATTAAAAAATAAACATAAATCATAATAAAACCAATGCACCTTCGCTACGCTCAGAATCTAAAAAATAAAATACAAAATATACAACCATTGGTAATACGATTGGTAACATACGATATTTACATAAATCTGTCATTGTTTTCAAATAGTACACGTTTTTTCTCTATATTTATGAGGTGTTTGTCACATCATATGTACGTACAGCGCGTGTTTTAATGTTGTGTTCTAAGGTTCGATGTTATTAGAAAATATTTTTGAATTTTGAACGGTCCATTGTTGTATAAATATTATATTCAAAGTTGATTTACATAAATAATATTTTTAGAGGTTACACAATCATCGAAATGAAAACCGACAATTTGTTCGTGATCTCCGCGTTAGTTTTCATTGTAATAATGCAAGTGAGTTATACTAAGTGTATATTATACTATAGACGTTTGGGTTTATTTTTAGGTTCTGAATGTGGTGAAGAAGCTAATATTTTTACTTATGTATATTTTTTTTCCTTTTAATGTATACTGATTTTTCATCCGGTGATATTTTGTTTGAAAAAAATTATTCTAGATTCCCTATAGATTTTTTTAGAAAACTTAAAACGCTAAAAATAAATTTCGATACATTGGTTTATTGTTATTACATTTTTTTTTTTCAATTTTTAAGTTACCTAGGTCCTAGACTACCAGTGGGAATGAAATAGATAGGTAGTTAAAATCAGTAGAATATATGTTTTTCGTTATCTCTGATTATGGTTATTAAACGTCTAACTTCAGATAAAGCAACTGAGTACAAAAAAAAAAAAAACAAAATTGAAAACTTCATTGAAATCCTATCTTGCGAAACTTTAAGGACTGACATTTGTCATATTTCAAAATCCTACGTAAACTATATTATAATTTCTAATGTTTCTAGTATAAAACGGATAATGTTGATAGTAGTTCGTCATTTTGTCGATTTTACAGTGTCAATATATAGTTGATGTATGAGTTTCAAAGCGGGGTTAAAATGTAAACATATTGTAAATAAGTTTATCAAACGATTGTATAATGTCTGAACTGAACCAAAATAGTGATCTAGACAATAATAAAAAAATACTAAAAATATTTATGTTGGAAACAAATTTTATGGTTTATTACTTATCATATCACAAATTCCTAAAAGTGGTAAATGTGTACTAGTTTTAACATTTAATCTATTATAGTAGTTAAATTTATTAAATCATATTAATATTAATTTGTTTATTTCGATATACAAATATCATTATATTTTACCTTTTTTTTCTTATAATTAGGTATATTAATTTTGATTAAAAATGATTTATTCAAATTATTCATTTATTTATCCTAGATTATGGATCATAAAACTTATTTCTTATTGATTTAGATACGATAAAATAAAAAAAACATACCTATCCAGATAAAAAAATAAATGTTTTCCATGATATATATACATGACGTATTGTGAAAGAATTTCGGATTATACTCGATCTATGTATATATATATATATAAAAAAAAAACAATCCTCCGAAAAGGTACCAACCGTCAGATCAAAGAAACTCGCGAAACCATAATAATAGGGACATTAGTTTCGAATACAATATAATTTAAATTTAAATTTTTCAAAGGCAATACTGACACAAATAATAATATCCGTGGCTGTATATCCCGTGTTTCTATCCTCCGGGGTTTACTACCTCATCCCTCTTACAGGTATATTTAAGCATTCTATTACCTGCCGACTTGGAATGAACGAGGAATCGAACAAAATATTTTTTATAAGAATAGGTAAAGCATAATTCTCAAGATCTTTACTAACTAACAAGCAGACGAGGAAAAATTGGAAGTTGGAACCTTCTAAAGCCACAATATGCACAATTTTGATAAAAATATTATTTATGCATTAAATATTTATCCCTATTACTTATTTCGATGAGCCAAACCTCCTTTTGGTAACGGTACTTAAAATCTGGTATTTCTTGTGAAAACAAGAAATATGAGAAAAAGATTGTTTGGGGGAGGATGTTGAAAGTTTAAACTTAAAATGAAATGTTCTTGATGCTTATATCGCATATGTACAAAATTTTACTACCACTATTATGGGAGTCTGTGGGATGTACATATCTAAAAACACACTCTTCTTGTCAAAGCATGGTTGTATATTCGACATTCAACCAAAATGTTATCACGTCAATTTTTCTATGAAAAAAAAGCTCTAATTCCCGAGTATGAACTCATTTGATCTAGACTAGAGGGAGCTGCTAAAAGTATCCAAAAGTATCCAAAAATACGTCAAATTCAACAATTAAAAAAGGTTAGTAAATAACATATACTATTATTTTATTTTATAAATTCTACAAAATCCAGTTCTACTTCAGCCAGTTTTATTTTTATCGATTTCTTCGATTCAAAGTAGAAAATTAAGGATAATAAGCTTACACAGTTTTCAACATCTTCGTTTTTCAAATACTTGTTGTTAGTTATTTCTGGTTTTTTTTTTCTTTAAATTAAAACATGATATTTTTGCCCATGTTCTAATATCGCTTTATTGCGATTTGTTAAATCGCTACCGTGATTAAGAGTGGAGGCGTATATGAATATTAAAAAGGCATGTATGCAGGTCCACACAAGTGAGAATTCATACAGAAATAATTTATTGGAATCATTATTTTAAAAACTGGCGCCTCTATCTTTTTACGTATTTTAATAAGGGATCGTTAGATATGTTGGGTGTGAGATAAGCAAAAAAGTGGTTATCAATGTATAAACAACTGAAACTAATACCTAATTTTTTTACAAACTAATTCGCTAATAATTGGTTAAACTGTAGAACACATTGTAAATACTATTGTTTTTTAATACAGTATTTGTTTTAAAAACAGATGTGCTCTTAAATTTAAACGCAAAAAAACATTTTAATTTGTTACAAAATCGATAGATTTTGTAATAGGATATTTATTTAAAAAAATAGTATAAATTGCTGTAATTATTTCCAAAGGAAAAATAATTAACATAATTTTTAACCATTTTAAAAAACTTAAATATTTAGTTAATTTGACTAATTAAAAATGTTGGATGATTCTACCAGCGAAATTGCATCGTATCGTAACAGTCGTATTTTAACAAAATTGAATTATTTTAATAATTTTGACTTAAATGTATTATTGTATTTCATATTTTATTTTTTGAGCGAAGCGAGAAATGTAAATGTATCGGTTTTATAATTGTGTCCTTTTTGGTCAGTGAACAATTTATCTACCGAAAATATTGCTCAAAATAAAGGGTAGTTTCTAGTTGAAAATTTTTGTGCAAATATTTTCGTTTTTTCCGGATTTCCCCAATTATTAAAAAAAATACAATTAATATCGCAAAATATTCTCTAAAACTAGAAAAATGTAATTTTAAAAGCTGGTAGATAAGATTTATAAAACAAAAATATATATAAAAATCATTTTTGTTAACCTTTGGATGTAATAACCTTCCCTGCATTGTGGGTCGCCTAATTCAAGTTGAGCAGCCACTATGGTAGCCATTGTTTGACGGAAGGCTGAACGAAGGCTTTACATTACCTACCTCTAGTTTCTGGTGACATATTAATAATAGGCAAATATAGACAATTACGAAGTGACCGTCAGACGATCGTTTCATTTAACTCGACCACGCTGTTAAGTGAAATTTGATTATAAAACAAATCAAAAAAGTTCCACAGAGAGCTATTCTATTTTATTTTGAAAAAATCCCAATTATAATGTTACCATTTTTAAGAGCAATAAACAACTTTTACTTAATTATTCAGTGTATAAGGTACATTGATTCTATAAACCGTGTTCGATAGTTTGATTGTTTTTTGAAAATGTTTAGTAGTTCAAGGCTTTTATTTAGATCGATTTTTCTATTTACCGTATTGCATCAAGGAGACTTGTTGAAAAGTGCTAGTTAAAAATTTAGATCTATGCAATTAAAATGTAATATATTAATATTTACGATCGGTTTATATCTATGGTATCTATGTTTTCTATCCAATTATAATTTCCTATATGTACTGTCTTCATTATCTACGTCATTATCGTATAGTTTATGGCCATTTTACGACGTCTACAGTGAATTACGTTTTCGACGTATTACAATTTTTGTTTGTTGCTGTGAACAGCTGTGCTTTTTTTTCTATTCCTGGTTACTTTTTTATTTATCGCATAATGCTCATGAAGATAAGAAATTAAACCATGGCCGGTCCACAAATAGTGCCAAGAAGATGCGCTTATCTAGGAACAATCATTCACAAACGCACGAACAAAATATAGACCAATTTTAAGCGGTTTTTCACAAAATGGTCCGCATTGTCTGGAGTAGTTTTTAAAATATTGAAACCTCTAATCTGATCAGTAAAAATAGTACACCTAACCTGCAGTAATTTGGGCTGTATACAAAATAGTAGTTCATAATTTATAATAATTCATACAAGTTTGAAATGAAAATTAAAGGTAATAACGGTTAACTTCAGTGTTTTTTCGGGGCATTAATATCCAGAAAGAAAATATTTTTATTTCATATATGTTTGACACGGGCAACGCTGGACAGGACAACTATTTTTACATAAAAACTGGAACTTTACTTATTAGTTTGATCGTACAGTTATTTAGTACACGGGTTATTATGTATTTAACTGTCTGTTGGTTTTATTTTGTTTTTAGAACTATGTGGTCTTGATGAAAGACCCGAAATCAGGTTCCGAATTAGGCTATGTGGTGTCGGAGCACAACAATTTAGCGGTGATCGCAGTTCCGGTAAAAGGGTCTGGAAAAATCATCACAAAGTTCTTCGTGGTACCCGCCAAGATGGCTTTAAAGGCCATAAAAGCCGCAGCCCACGTGTTGTCGCCAAGAAAACTTAAGCGAAAGTTCGACAACATGCGAATGAAGTTTCATGCGGTGCACGTGTCGCACGAGACGAAAAATCACGTGCGCACTATTACAGTGGACGGCCGTGGCGTGCACTGGACCAAATTAAGGAAGTTAGTACCAACACCGCCTTCGGCCAGCCGAACTGTGATCGGAAAGATGATGAACAGCTTGAAGTTCACAAAGGACGGAGTGCCACCACCACACGGACCTCCTTTCGGAAACCCCGCTGGACCTCCTTTCGGAAACCCCGCTGGACCTCCTTCCGGAAACCCCGTCGGACCTTCTGACGGAAACCCCGTGTTTGGATACCCAGGGGAACCGGTGCAGGTTGTCAAGAAAAAGTCATTTTTAAAAGACAATCCGATCTCGAAAATGTGCAGGAACTATAAGGCAAAGAGACAATTTAAAAAACAACAGAGACAAATCAAAAGGGACCAGTTGGGTCAAAAATAGTGTCTTGTTAAACTACAGAAACTGTAGTTTACATAATTGTTGAAATTATGTAGAAATTTAAACATTCTCTTTAAAATACATGAAATTCATTCAATTTTTTAATTTATAATTTATACTCATGATGTAATAGTTCATCCTGAATTACATCCTGACGGTAGTGAGGAATATTGTTTTACTATGATATACGATTTTAGTCTGTTGTTAACATTTCTACCAAAACACATGCTTTAATTATTTACTCCCGATGATTTCTGTTGATGATTTTTGTGGGGGTTTCTGGTAGCAACGTTTGATTAAATTACTTTTTTCAGTTTAAAAAGTTCAAATCTATGTTAAAATTCGTTAAAAGCTCGAAGAATTCTTGTAATTTACTAATAAATTTTTAAATTAATTAAGTTTATCGAAAAATGTTTTAACCGACTTAGTCCAGAATCGTTTTTCGTTTGTAATGATTTATAGTCACTTACAGATGTAAATTAAACTGTCTTACCTATATACTACCTTTCTAACTTCCCACCTACAACTCCAATGGCCTACCTATGGTATTTATTTTTATTTAAATATATACGATTTAAAACTGAAAATATTTATACTTACCTTTTCCAAAAACTTTACGAACCATTTTCTCCATTCGCAAGTCTATTTATTATCTTTAGATACTTAAATCAAATTCAACAACAAAAAATTATTTATCATACCTGTGTTTAAACCGATAATATGTTTTATTGTGATGCGTATTACCAGAGTAATCTATACAGATATATTGTAAAGTTACGAATTAAATGTTTTATTAAAAGCCAAAAGCAAACGGACGAGAGGGATTTATGCGGTGACAAAGAATACAACTATACCAAATTATTGTCGTGTTACGTATAAAATGAAATACGTATACTTACGGTATTATAGTTTCGTTGGTAAAATGTCTAGTATAAAATTACATTGTTCTCGTATATCCATTGGAGTGTCGGACGTTTAATATTTGTCCATTTTATTCACATTCGGTATTAAACATTGGATATATAATTAACTATAATGGACCTTATATTTTGGACGATTTTATTACTGGACATTCTATATTTGGTACATATTAAACAAGAAACGTTTTGTAAACCACTTGTAAAGGCTTTTGAAACGCGTGGCATGAATTAAATGTCGATCGGATGTGTACATTTCTATACCTATATACAGTGTTATCCTCATGCTAATAACTCTGTCAATATTCAGTTTTTTTTCAATTCGGTTTTGTGTGAGGTGGATACATATGTGAAGGAAAATTACATTTTTATTTTCTTCCCTTAATCACTGAACAATATAATTTTATTTGTCCACTTTTTAAAATTTTCAAAATAACGATTTTGTAAAATATAATATTCTAAACATTTTAATGTAACATAAGTCATAATCTCATGTCCGATCATTAATTTCTTAGTAATAGCCGTTTTGATTTCTAGAAAATTGGCATAATAACAAATAATTTTCAATAGAATAACACATTACGCGATAAGGAATCACAATCAGCCCGGTAATTATTTATCTTCTATTGAACATTAATTGTTTTCACGCCTAATATCTATAAGACATTAAAGCTACTTAAAAAAAAAAAATATGACAGAATTATTAGCGTAAGGAAAACACTGAGGAACACTCTGTATAACATAATAATATGTTAATATGTATAAAATATATATATGTAGGAATATGTAGGTTAATTCTAATTTTAATTAGTTAAAACCAAAATTGATTAAAGGGATTTTTGGAAAGTATTTTTGATTAGTTAAAACTAGTTTTAACGGATTTCGGGCTTTAACTGTAACACATCAATGCACAGTATAAAATGAGGTGAATTTTTTTTGTTCGGGATGAACTCCTAAACGGCTGAATGGATTTTGATGTGGTTTAAAATAACGGATCGGTCGAGTCTCGGGAAAGGTTTATTGAGATCCATCCCTTATTGAAAACTATCCCACGAAATTCGGTTTTTAGGTATTATTATTATTATTTATTTTTTTGAGTTACCTTAGCAACCAAGAATGAAATGAAAAAAAAATTTAAAAGGTTGGTCAAAACGTTTCTATAGTATTTATGCGCCATATTTGTATGCAATAAAATTGTAAACTGTCTTTAACAGTTAAGTACATAGTAATAAAACTTCTGCTGATCAAGACTATAGACTTTATATTTATCAAGAAATATCTAACATTTCTACTAAGACCTTGAGTTGGTTTCGGAAAAGAGCAATACTTTCATCAATTAACGAGCAAGTCAATAAAATAAATGGCATGGTGCCTGCTGATGAGATTCAGTGCACCCACAAAAATAAGACACTTAACGAGGTGCATCCAGAAATATTTAATGCTTGAGGTCAATAGTAATTATCAAAATTTAAAAATATATGTCATAATAGAATACCTTTAGTCCGCCAAAGGTGGACTTCCCACTTTCTACTTATTTGCTTTATTCTTTACTGACACGGTCAAAATCAAAACGGGCGGAACAGCTAATTATGTATAAAATAATATCGTGTCGGCCACTTCACTATTCAACATATTCGTCATAGTATTTTTCGATTATTTTTTTTAAACGAAAATTCGCGCGTTCTTGTTTATGATAACCGCGTTTCTCCCGGTTTCCCCATATTTTTTCCTGGTTTTCCACATTTTCTGGGAAAACTCATGGGAAAATCGAAAAATGGCTTGCTTAAAGTACCTTCTCAGTCAAATTTTCTTTCAAAACAAGTGATTTTATTGTGAATCTGAGCAAAATTTCTGGTAGAAAAGTTGTGCACAGGAAAAACAAATAGTAATATTTTAGTAATATATTTCGTACATTTTCCCGACTTTTTTTTCGGTTTTTCAAATTTTATAAGAAAACTCATGAGAAAATTGAAAAATGACCTCTTTAAAGTACCTCTCCACAACGATTCCCTTTCAGAAAAAGTGTTACATTTAAAAATTCGAGTAAGTTGTTTGGTAGAAAAGTTGTAAAAAAAAAAAAATCATAGTTGTAAAACCATAAGCTTGTTTGCTTCACTCAGAATCTAAAACGTATTTCTTGCACCCTCTTTTATTTATGACAATTTTAGGGTACAGTACGTTAATTAAGTTTATGTACTTCATTGCAAGTGAAAAACGATTATGTGTGAAGTTTGTTTAAGCATTCGTTGACCGATTTAAAATGGTGTTAATTTCTAACTATTACAAAAACAAAACAAAAATCACCTTTCTGATGCAAGACAATTAAGCAAAATTATCTACCAACAACCACCCCTGAAGTTGATTATCAGGTCAAGATTTCGAGTCGAAAATTTGTTGACGAAAAAAAAACCACGCCATACCGAAATCAATGATAAGTTTAGAATCTAAAAAAAAAAAAAATATGCATATTATATATTATTTTAGACCGAAATTCGTTTTTACCGGATATATTGTGCATCTAGGTATTAATTAATTACGTATAACCAGGTCTCTTTGCCAAAATAACGGATTATTGAAACGATGAAGCCGAGACAAATTAACCCCAATTTATTTTATTAATAGAATAATGTAAAAAAGAGCTAATACTGCTAACGGGTTTGCCACTGTTGCCGGTGGGAAGGTAGGATATATAAAGTTATTTAATGTATGTCTGTACGCAACGTAAAACGATTTTGGTACTTTGGTTGCACACGTTTTAATTTTCGTCAAAATTTGATCTTAAAATGTAATATGACTACATTATGCTTAATCGTTTTTTTTTTCACTCAACGAGATAAAATTATAATGAATCTCGTATTAAATTTTTAAGCACTTCAAAATTATATTTACACTAAACCAAATAAAAATTATAAAATTTTGAATATCGGCTTAAAAACAACTAACAAATAGCTAGAATATGTAGAACAGTTTCCACTAATAAAAAATGATATTTAAGGTATTTGGCGAAAATGTTTACTCTAACATTATTTTCCATCAAATAACTAAAAAAAAAAGCAATTAAAATCTATGTAATCTTTAACGCCGTAAATTTATTTGTCTTTTTATCACGTTTTTTTTTTTTTTCATTTTTCTCAATTACTATAAAAACTACTCGGAACAAATTACTTACCAATAAGACAATATTTTCTTTTAGAAAAGATGGTACTCTTGTAATTGAGAGCATGATTTTTGGTAGAAAAAAAATTGTACAAATTTTTAAAAAAATGATAATAATAATAAAACTGTTACGCCACCGCTTTGTAAATATTTTCAATTTTTCCTATACGTTTTTTTTTTCGATTTTTTCTAAATACTATGATAACTGCTGGAAAAATCATAAAATAAGTGTCTCAATAATTCACACCAATACACCAATTAGATCCAAAATGTAATAAAATAGTTCTTTATCATTTTTTTAACTGGATGCAGACAGAACAAAAAAACATTTTATAAAAGCAAAGGAATAAGCACACATCAAAGTAAAACCAATGCATTCGTCGATCCGTTTAGAACCTAAAAAATGCTAATAACGATAACAATAATTTATTGACGTTGTGTTAACGGAAAATTATATTTGTATTTCGTTCCTCATTATACATGATGTGTGTCTGTGTAATAACGTCGATTACACAATATTATGGAAATAATGGTAATTACTAGTTACCATTTTTTTTTTATGTATTTTTTTTTTTATAAACTACTTGTAAAGAGGTGTATAATTGAACGCCAATCGCACAATAGAATATTATTGGGTCGGCTACTTAACCGATTTTTGTTGTTTCCGACATAATAATATACTTAATTACGACAATTCACCTGTTTCAATTATTTTCAACCGTACGCGTTCATCGATCATTTGCGCGCATGTGTTTTGTATTGTTATCGGATGTGTCCGTCTAAACCGATCTAACGACGGTATATAAATACATCACCAAATCGAGCTAATTCCATATTCGTCAAGAACGCGGTGTTGAAATATACAAATTAAATTTTCATGTTGTGGACGAACTACGGTATAAATCAATAAATATATTTATCGAGGCTGTTTGAACACCAAGCGTTTTACACATCAATATTATCAAAAATGAATCCAACATGGGTATTTGCAGTTTTGTTGATCACACACAGCGTGTACGGAGTAAGTCTAGTCGAGTCGAATATCAAAAAAAAAAAAAAAAATGTACAAGTATTTTTATATTGCATTATGATTCCAGACAGAAGGTGAACAAAATCAACAGACATTAACAAGCTCGCTATTAGAAGCAAACGGTTCTAATAGTCCAACAGATGGTTCTGCAAACGTAAAACACTGTTTAAAAATTTACATACTGGATGTTTCTGAATAATGTACCTCTATTAGTATTATTATACTCAGGATGGGGAGGGGGAATAGAGCAATGTCGAATAGGTTCAGAAAGGAATCATTCAGTTTAAGTAAAAATCGTGAAATATCTTAGGTTTTGAAGCTAGAAAGCACAAAATGCCAATCATTTTATTATTGAAGTAAATCCTAGAGTATGATAATGCTAGTAGTGACACATTATTCAGAAACACCCTGTCACCCACAGTTCCCTTACAGCCTTCTAAGTCTATCCGGGATACTTAGTTTGCCCAAATCCAAACCCATCTTTGAGATTTTTATCATTTTTTTTTTTTTTCAAAATCGAGTCCTTATTTATATATGTATAAATATATATTTAGATACATATGTGTAGGTATTTATATTGTATTATAATCTGCATGAATTATGGAATAATTTATTAATTGAATTAATTTTATGTGATAAAAATGCGTTTACAGATCGGCGCCAAAGTGATCAGCACACCAAATGAAGTAAAATCAACATCACTGGTAGGAAACGACGTCTCGAAGGCTAGTAGTTCGGGAACGGCAAGCGGTCCCGACATTTCGGGTTCTACCGCTCCGGTCGTACAACCGTCCGTTTCTCGTCAAAAGCAAAAGATTTATGCACAGAAAAACAAACATAATTCATTACCTAACAAAAATGGTAGATCAAACCACTCTGGGCACCACACGGCACAATCCGGTAGTAGAGCAAAATTGTCTAAATCTAGACAGCAATCTAAAATAATCCAGAACGCTAATCCGGAAGTAGACCACATACAACAAATATAAAAAAAAAAAAAAAAAATAATAATTTCGCTTAAGTTAAACCAACCAAAATAGTCTAATATATTGTATCGCCATGTGTTTTAAAAGAAAAAATAATACCTTTGTAACAATTATGTTTATTTTAAAATAAAAGCATTACCTACATACAATTATCAGCCGAAACGTTCTTTTTCTTTTCAGCAAAATTTTCACGAGTATTGTCTACTATATTGGCGGTAAATAAAGGCGTAAAAATCTTCGAGTTCCAAATCCTCCCTCTAATTTTTCCAAAATTATTAATTATTATTTTCAAGAAAAACATTAATTATGTTTTGTAGTGAAAATTCTATACGACTTAATCACTCCGAAAACATCTCTCCCCTCCTCTCGATCTTGCGAGTTGGTATTTAATAATAATATTATTATTATGGATTACTTATTATTACAATATCATTAATATTCCTTAATTACTATAGAATAATAAATAAAGACACGGATAAAAGGTAGGAACGTATACAAATATATAGGTATTTGAAGAAATTGTATTAATTTATTTTTGTACAACGGTAAATCACCAATAAAAAAAAAAGCGAAATTCTATGTGTTTAACATATCATTTTTTGAAATGCCACGATGCTTATAATTTTCATAAAATGCCGAACTACAAATATTCATGAAAAAAAAAAAAAAAAAATTAATATACATTACCCCTTTTAAAAAGCGGCCTATTATTTTGAACTGAATCGCAACAAAATAATAAAATAAGTAGATTTTCCAGTTTTTTCTCAGTTTTTCTCAATTATAGTAAAAAAAAAGATGT